TAACTCTTTTGCTGCAGCGGTTTAATTGCTCATTGGTTCATGTCATGCGTGTTTTGAAATGGCCTATGTTGCAATGAGAGACGTGGCAAGATTTCAGTCGCGTATTTTAGATTGTGTGCAAAGTAAATTTAGTATTAAAAGGTACGATGTTGGAGTGGTACGAGTCTTTTGTTCACGGGTGTGTTTCTGCGGATCAAAGTGCATTTTTGGAATTTCTGTGGGAGTCAATACTTTTAAAACGAAGATTGGCGTGTCCGAAATGCAGAGCTGATATGAGAACTCAGACAAAGAATAGCATTTCTGATAGACTTGTGTGGGTTTGCAGTCAAATGGTTGCTGGTAAAGTATGCGGCTTTCAGCGGAGTTTAAGATTTGGGTTATGGTTTTCCTGTAGTAAGTTAAGTTTGGAGGAAGTTTTTATCGTTACTTTCGAAATTTTGAATCAGTGATTTTTGGTTAGAAACTTTATGTTTCTGCTATCTAAATTTTTTGCTTCGGATTTTTAGCTTAAATTGTGTGTTCAAAACGTTGTTTTTGCATCTGCAAAAACCACATTTTTGGAGACATTTTAGGCTTAAAGTTTGAAATGTATACAGTCAAAAGTGGTTAATTCGGACACCCATAATCCGGACCTCAAAGCTACAAACTTTCTGCGCATGCGTCGCATTGACGCGCAAGACCTTTACGGCTGCGAATATGCGTGTGCGCAAAATACGTTCACGAATGCGCGTTTAATGTATAACGGACGGTATAAGCTAAGCTAAAATTATCTAATTCAGTTAATGTTGCAGACTGCGTTGTTCCTTAATCTTTGAATTGGATTCGGCTTATTATTTTTTGCATACTGTTAGAGCAATTTTATAAAAGTAAGCTTGAACTTTCGATTACGTCAAATAGAATTTCTGATATATATTTACTAATATGTAAAGGATCTACAAAGTGAAAGTATGTTTCAAAGTCTATTAAACAAAAAGTGGAATTGCTGCAAAAAAATGGATAAAGGCATATCCTTTGTTTATCTAAACTTTAACGTTTGTTTATCTAAACTTTGTTTATCTTTAATGCTGCGGCGCACAATGAATTGGAAGTTGATCTGTCAGCACTATCCTTATCTTCAGGGCAGATGTTTTTATTTTATTTGGCTTATAATTCCGTACTAAATGCAGTATTTCATCTCGATGTACTCCGTCTTTGATATGATTTAAATCAAATTCCTCGTCATTATAATTCACTTTCGATAGCGTAGAAAGTGACAGAGGTTATTGAAAATGAAAAAATTTCGATTGACAAATTAATCGGTATTCTCGACACAGCAATTATAGGACTTCAACAGCAGAACTTTGTAAGTGAACAAGAAATTATGTCTGTTTATAGAATTAGAATGTATTATCACATAAAAAAAGAAGCAACTTAAACAACTTATATTGAAAGAAATGTTTAATAAAGTAAACAAATAAGTATTAAGCTTTTTTTTTTTTTTTGCAAATTTTGATACCCTTTAGATCATAATTGTTCTTTATTTCATAAATTACCATTTCATATTTTTAATTTTATAATTTCTGCATGCCATCTTACCAGACTTAAACTGATGATTTATAATCCGGAAAAATCGATAATCCGGAATCACCGAAGTCCCGACGAGTCCGGATTAACGACTTTTGACTGTACAAAAAATTTAGATACTAATATGACATCATGGAGTTTCTCGGCAAAAATATTTGGCGAGAAACTTGTCGCCAAGCAAGGGCGTATACAAGAGTAGTTCCGAATTTTTTTGTAAAAGCAGGCTTAACTTCTGAAAATGGATGGGCCAGTGGCAACATTGCATTTCAGGAGGTTTGGTCTTGTGGCTGCACTTCGTTCTCCGCATGTTGGTCCTCAAGGGGTTAAACAATAACTTAATTATATTAATGTTACTTTCATTTAATTTTTTAAGTAACTCATTAATTTACAAAATAAACATAAATTATAAGTTTAAAAAGTATTACACCATTGTATTATATCAAAATTAATTTATATCAGAGGTAGTTGATTCACATAACAATAGACTTGAAAGATAACATGACTAAAACTGCTGCAGGATGCAACTTTCAGAATCTCCTATTTATTCTTTAATGTTTCTTTGGATTTTTAGTTGCAGAAGTAATATTCAAAAATGTATTACTTTAACTGTCTGACGTGGGCAGCTCAGTCACCGAACTGCTTTCTTGTAATGGCGCTATAATCTCTTGTAATAAAGAAGAATTCAGGCAGTTAATCAGAATTAATTTTAAAATAAGATAATTGCATTTTTGTTAAAAACTTTTATGAAATAATTAATCCTAGAATAACAATTTTTTATTTACCTCAAATAATTATATGTGGCAGAAAAATACAAACATGATTTTATTTAACACAGTTATAAAAATTATCAAAAATCTTTTGCGTAAAAAACCAGTACGTATAATTTTTCACATACCTCAAACATGTCTGTATTAGAATCGCTCTAACTACCACTTTCCAAGTCTGCAAAAATATCACTGTGAGAAAAAGACTCATTTATCCGTCATGTATGCTCTTCTATTAAATACAATTTTTGTTTTGCCATTTAAGTGCAAAAATGCGTTGCTAAATCATACAAAATATCTATCAAAACACTAGGGGGAAAAAAAAATCCAATAGCAATAAGTAAAACCTCTGAAAAGATAGAACACCTACCTTGCGATATCTGCAAAAAAAGTTTTCTCAAGCATTGATAACGTGCATTTGTTTATTTCAACTGATCGAGTTAAACAGCCAATACATCACTCAACATCCATGAATCTTGCTCTTATTTCAAACAAAATACCAAACATAAAAAATATTTCTTACTCTCGATAAATTTCACCATAACAGACAATTTGATAAATTTCACCTGAACAACAGAGGGGAAAAAAAAAAAAAAAAAAACCCCACTCCACCACCACTAAATACAGTTAAAAGTCGTTAATCCGGACTCGTCGGGACTTCGGCGATTCCGGATTATCGATTTTTCCGGATTACAGATCATCAGTTTAAATCTCGTAAGATGGCATGCAGAAATTGTAAAATTAAAAATATGAAACCGTAATTTATGAAATAAAGAATAATTATAATCTAAAAGGTATCAAAATTTACAAAAAAAAAAAAGCTTAATGTTTATTGTTTACTTTATTAAACATTTCTTTCAATGTAAGTTGTTTAAGTTGCTTCGTTTTATGTGATAATACTTTCTCTTTAATTCTATAAACAGACATAATTTCTTGTTCAGTTACAAAGTTCCGCTGTTCAAGTCCCGTTAATTGCTGTGCCGAGAATACTGACTAACTTGTCAATCGAAATTGTTTCGTTTTCACTAACCTCTCTGTCACATTCTTCATGTCTTTATCCATTTTTTCCAGCAATTCCACTTTTTGTTTGTTGGACATCGAAACATACTTTCGTTTTGTAGATCCTTTGGAAGTTCCAGCATCGGAAATTCTATTTGACATAATCGAAAGTTCAAGTTTACTTTTATAAAATTGCTCTTACGGTCTGCAAAAAATAATAAGCGGGATCCAATTCGAAGATTAAGGAACAACGCAATCATTAACATTAACTGAAGTAGATAATTAGATAATTTTAGCTTACACCGTCCGTTATACATTAAACGCGCAGGCGAAAACTTATTCTGCACTTGCGCACACGCATATGAGTAAAACGCCTGTGCGCATGTGCCAACGCGGCGCATGCGCAGAAAGTTTTTAGCTTTGAGGTCCGGATTATGGGTGTCCGAATTAACGACTTTTGACTGTATTCTATTTAACCCCTTTAATTGCTGCGGGCATATATACACACCTTGCTCAGCCGATGCATTAACTGCCCCGTGCGTATAAATACGCCTTTCCGAAATACTATCATTTGCTTTGATGCTACCAGTAAAATTATTCACAAAGCTTTGGAATGAAACACCACAATGATCTTGACAGAGTATGAGGAGGAGGATACTATTTCAGAAAAGAAGGAGGGAGGAACTTGGAAAGGGGATGTTTCTGAAATGGTGAAAGTAATATCTGTGCAGTATTTGCTGACATTTCTGTTTGATTAAAATGTATTTTTTTTTTTATTCTGTGCCTTCTGTTTTCATTTACAATTTCAAGTAAGTGCCAGGAAGAAAGAAAGATATAACAGATGTTTCAAACCCATTTATCTTTTTAGAATTATTTTTTGATGAACTGCTCGTTCTTCATATTTTTACTGAAACTATTTTGCAAACAAATATATGAACCAACACCTTGCAAAAGGAAAAATGAAGAACAAAATTGCACCATTCAACCAGTTCAGAAGATATATAACCAGTTCAATATATGTTTTTTAGGTATACTGATTACACAAGGTATAACACTGAAATCTGATATTGCACTTTACTGGTCTAAAATTAAACTGATCCAAACTGCATTTTGAGGGATCTTTTTTATTATAAAAACATCATTTTTATTATACTTTTACTCTAAACATTAAATTTTGTGCTTTCATTTTTTCTTTTTTCTTTATTTTGCGAAAGTAAAACTTGCACTTATTTTCTCCCTAATGCATCACATAACTACATGTGCCTGTGAGGAAAAATGGTGACACTGAGGAGTGAATCTTGTAGCAGTTAAGGGGTTTAAAAGAAATATGTGGTATGCCCAGCTACACAGTGAATTAAAGAGAAATTCATATACAACACACATGACCGTGAGATAATGTTTGCTGGAAATACACAAACAACACAACCATCCCGAAGAGGTTAAAATTAAAAAATATGCTTAAGAAGCTTCAAAATCACTGAAAATGACAGAGATCAGAAAAATTATTTTTATTATCAATAGGCAGCATTAATTTATATATAATATATTTTATACACATTTTAGTACATAAATCAGAATTTTTGTATTTTTACATCAGGTAAATACTTTTCTCCCAAAAGCATGAAAAACTGACAAGATGTAGAAGTGTAAAATAAAATATATTTAAATACTTACCTTGGAGATTAGGTGGTGGTGGTATCATAACCCCAGATGGTTTGGCATTATTAGCTGCAAACTGGCCAGACTGAAATTTGCCAGCTTTGAAAGCAGCAGCTACAAAAAGAATAAGACAAAGATTAATTATAATCGATTTTCATAAATACTCAGCTAAAAGCATATAAAAAGCAATTTTTTAACTCATTTACTTTAATTTAAAACATTCCAACATTCAACAATAGTTTTGATTTTAATTTTTTAATATTCTATGCACAATCAGGCACAGCAATTTAAATGCTTTTACTCCTTGATAAGAGACCCACATTATTTTTTATTGAAAATTGGCAGAAATTTAAGGTTGAATCTCATTTTAAAGGTTCAAGCTTGTATACTTCTCCGACATCAAGAAATATTACTTTTATACATTAGAATTGTAAAACTCGACATCTTAATTTCCAAAAAGAACTTTTAGAAGAAATTAGAGAGAAAAGTGACCGATTGAAATCAATCAAAAGAATGTATTTTTTATCATAATCCAGTACAACCTTTCTTTATTTATTCTGGAAGACCTAGAAGAACTAAATGGTACACTGAACATAAATCAAAATAAATTTTGTTCATACTCATAGTACAGTTTAAAAACTATACACAGAAGGTAAAAACTATATAAGAAGGTATAAAAAAAAGAGTCATCCTTCATTTAACTTTTTTTTGGGTGGCGGTAAATCAGTTCACTAATTGAAACTTTTTACTTCGCAGACTAAATTTCACCAACTCAAATAAACATGGTTTAGGAAATGATTAAAGTGAGTCAGTCTAATTTAAGAAGTTGAAGAAGAAATTTTATGCAAACAAATGTAAATACAAGTAATAAGAAACTGATATAAAATAATATGACAGCAGGTTAAAATACACCAGCCTCATAGCATAACTGACTTTGTTGAGGTAATTAGTCACAGTTACTGATAAACCTGTTCATGGATATTTAACATCCAATGATGCAAATTCAGTAATTTGCAGAAAATGCTCAAACTGCATCAAGAAGAGATGATTAGTATTCATCATCTGCAAGTCCCAATGATTCTGCAAATTTCAGAATTTGTTTCATATTAATGAACTAAAACAGCAACTTTCCCACTTCAATCTAAATCTTGAATGAAAAAAGCATGCTAACTTATATTATTGGTATCATGGGAAAATATGATTTAATGCTACAGATAAAAATATAAACTATATTAAAAAAAAAAAAAAAAAAAAAAAGAAGACTACCTCACGATTGGCAATTAACTCTCTAGAACATCCACACTACTAGCTCCTTTAAAATAGATATGTCCATAAAGATTTACATAGGACCCACAATACCAATAACCTCCATCTTTTCCACTCTGTTAATTAAAACTGCAGGGCAATTTGTCAGAACATAAAAATTAATGATTAAGCATTTATCATTACAACTGCTAGTCATATTTATTGGCAAATTCTGTGAAAATCATAGGTATCAATTACCAAAGAATGCTGGAGTAATGAAAAATGTAAAATATTGATTCTTGTGAAAAACTTCAGGGATTATCATGTGTTATGAATGATTAATTATCTTGGTTTCTGGTAACACTAGATTTTACGGATTGAAATGCGTTCAGCAGCCAACTGCAGTTTTGAAAATTTATGGTTACTAGTAAAATTTCATGACATTTTTTATTCTAACATTGCCTCACTAATAACCAACATTTAAGTTTTTCTCTTCCTTCTAAAGATTTCTGGGAACATTTAAAAATAAATTTTTTGTTGTAATTACGCAACTCCTGGAAAATTGAAACTCAATTTACATTTTAAAAACTGCTGTCTTTCATTAGTTTTTCTAATGAAAGCAATTTATCTACTCCCAGCAGACAACATCATACGTGGTTACAAAGTTCAATACTTTTATAGGTAAAAGTATAGTTTAGGGTACCCCTTGGCGAAACTTGGCGCTACATGGATACCGATTTTGTGCAATTCTTTGACTACAAGCCAAAATAACAAGACAAACAATTGCACAAGCTCGGTATCCATGTACACATCGACCTATTTTCACTTAAAAAAAAATCCTAGAATTGAACAAACTTGCATTGCACACTTCCTTTACTTTGTCCATGTACACATCGATATAGTTTCACTTAAAAAGTCAAAGGAGCACCAAATTCTACAATATAAGAAAAAAAAAAAAAAAAAAAAAAAAAAAAAAAAAAAAAAAAAAAAAAAAAAAAAAAACATATTCTCAATAAAATACATTTTAAACCAAATACTAAAATAACATAAAAAAGGAAAAACATGTTATACATTTAAGCACTACCAAAAGCAAATATTCACTTACCATGATTTTCTAGTTCACTTCGTACACCCAGAGCCACGTAAAAATCAAAAATATCAATCATACTCAAAGGACTTTTTTCAAACCAGCTACACTTTCTGATTGAACGCTTCACATAGTGAGCATCTGAACCTTTCTTCCTACAAACCCATTCAAATCCATCTAAAAGGGTTTTTACTTTCAACTAGATGCATATCCTTTCTACATACACTTATAATGGCTACTAAGTAAACCTTCATTTACACACATTTACATTCCACGATTCAAAATTTCCCAGAATCATGCACCCGATTACGTCACAATAGGGTTTCCATAACACTCAACTACTCAGGCTACCATAAATGAAACAACAACTTGGCGATAAATCAAACAACAACTTCGCCATAATTACAAGTGGTACCTTACAGTCTACTCTACCCCTTTTATATTAAAGCACCCACTGCAGTTAATCACCAAAACTGGCAACTTATTCACTAACCTTGTTACATGCAAATTTTAAATAACACCTGAGTTTTATTAAGTAATGGCTGCTTTGGCAACAGAGTACTTTAAAATTTATAAAGAAAATTTTTTGAATTATAATGATCTAAGTTGCCTCAACAAAAGTTTAACACAAATATTCTATATTTAAAGAACTTGGAATGCATAATAAAAATATACTGTTACGAAATGTCAAGGCGCGGTGAGATGGCTTCCCCGCAAAGCAGTTTTAGGGTTGCCATAAAATAGCAAGGGAAGGCAGGGTTGCCACATTTGGCGACACGCCATGGACTGATGGAGAACCTTCTGGAACGAATTCTTAAGGGTTTAGCCCAGAATGTTCTCAAACACAAGCCGAAAGCTATATAAACCCTGCTGGTCTGCAGTCAGTGAGTTAGTATCGAGAGTGTACGTCTCTCATCGAGTGTGTGTCTCGTCTAGCGAGTCTCCCTGCGGAGTCAGTTCCCTGCGGCAGTGGACGGTCGTCGCACCACAGAGGTTAGAGTGGAGTGCATCCGCCTGCGGTTCTTCTCAGTACACCACAAGTCAGTCTCATAGTAGTTGTACGTGGAGAGTCATCGAGACCGAGAGACCTGGTGTCAAGAGCAATGGGAACGACTGTACCGAAAAGCAGAGTCGGGTTGCTTTGCAGGAGTGTCCAGGAGATACCAGAAAGAATAACCTAAAGGCTGTGTCGCTGGATTGTACCAGCGTGTTTATAGTAGATCTTCGACGACTGTAAAAAGTGGTTATTGGAGCTGTCCTGATTAATATTGGCTAAATAAAGTGTGTTTTGATACTTCACCAAGTGTCGTCGTTATTCACTCCAAATCCACACGAACCTCGTACGAACGTAATTGGTGTCTGAAGTGGGATTTACGAGTGAATGCCAGTGACCCGCCTGCAGAGAAAAGCCATGTCGAAAGAAACGAAGACTTTGATGAACTTCTTAGCCAAGATGAGGGCTGAGATGAAAGCCGGACTGGCTGAAATAAAAGCCGGATATGATAAGATAATAGCTGGATATAAACAGAGATGACAGCTGAGATAAAAGCCAGACGGGAAGAAATAAATGTCAGCCAAGAAAAGGTACGAGAGCAACTCAAACAGGTGAAAGTGGAGCTTACAGAAGAAACTGGAGCCATAAAAGACGATGTGGATATGAGAGAAGTGGCTTCTGAAGAATCAAAGGAAGTAGAAATGAAGGAAGTAGCTAATGAACTGCCTGAGAAAGATCAAGAAATGATGAATGAAACATCTAACGGGATTAAAGGAAAAGAACAAAAACATGAAGAAATAAAAGATAGGAAAGAAGCATTTGATTCTCAAGTGCCTGAAGTGGAAGAAAGTGAAAATGTGACTGTTAAGTTTGTCAAAAATGAAAGTGAGGTTACGAAGTCACAGTTATCAAGTACTGAACCATCTGAAAGTTCATGTGATGTCGAGATAGAGGAAGCCTATGTGCAGCTTAAGCAGTGTGCTCCAGTATTGCAAGAAAATTCACCCATCTCACAAACTGGGTGTATGCCTCATAGTGCAGGTTTTGCAGACAAGAACTTGATTTTGATTCTAAATCAGGATACTTACGTTTGTAAAGTATCAGGCTCTGTTCATGATTCTGATGCAGAATTTGGAGCTGGTTTCCAGGAAAAGCTGGAAAATGAACATGTACCAGATGCTGAAAACACAGAGGTGAACTGTATGCATGCTGCGAATGAACTACAGAGCATTGAAAAAACTGTTTCAGATCTTTCTGTGGATGGAAAGTTTCATAGAACTGAATCTTCAGACTGCGATATGCAAAACGTAAATATATCTGAGAACTGCAGTGGAAAAGTATTTGACCCGGGTATATTTAAGTGAATAGACTAAGACTGAAATTCATTTTTAACTTTAATGTATATAATTAAAAATTGTTATGTGTTTAGTTTGTGTATGTAACTTGTACATAGTTTAAATATTTGTTTCTTTAGTTATGTTATTTATTTATATCTTATGTTTGCATCGAATTATGCTTCTGACCAAGGGTTGTACTGACAGGGACGTGCTGTCCTTGGGATGGGTCAGTGTTACGAAATGTCAAGGCGCGGTGAGATGGCTTCTCGGCAAAGCAGTTTTAGGGTTGCCATAAAATGCAAAAGGAAGGCAGGGTTGCCACATTTGGCGAGAAATTGCCCACCCATTTGGCGACATTTTGGACTGATGGAGAACCTTCTGGAACGAATTCTTAACGGTTTAGTCCAGAATGTTCTTGAACACAAGCTGAAAGCTATATAAACCCTCCTGGTCCAGTCAGTGAGTTAGTATTGAGAGCGTACGTCTCTCATCGAGTGTGTGTCTTGTCTAGCAAGTCGGTCTCTCCGGAGTGGATCGAGTTGACAGCCGGGCAGCGAGTGCCGACTGTGTCGTCGAGTGCACCACAAGAGTCTCGAAGTATATTGTGGTTAGTGCATCGTCGAGAGAGCGTGTTGAGCTCCAGGAACGACTGAACCGAAGAGTCGAGAGTTGCACTGTCAAGTGAATCGCGAGTTGTAGCATAGAGAGTCTCAAGAGTACATGAAGTTCTGAGAACGACCGAGCAGATTTGGGAGCTTTGCAGTGAAGCTGTCTCCACCGTTATTGCCTGACAGTGTGAAGGCTGTGCCACTGATTGTTCCAGCGTGTTTAGAGTAGATCTTCGACGACTGTAAAAAGTGTTATTGGAGCTGTCCTGATTAATATTGGCTAAATAAAGTGTGTTTCGATACTTCATCAAGTGTCATCGTTATTCACTCCAAATCTACGAACCCAGTACGAACATGAAGGAAGAAAATAACGTAACAACAGGTGTCAAAAGAGAAAAAAAACACAAAATATTAATAGGAAATATACATGAAAATGCAATTTTAAACTTAAAAATTTTTAAAAACAAATATTACTTCATTAAAAGAATAAAACAAAAGCTAATACAGAAGACTTTTGAAAAATCATTTTAATCTTTAAGCACAAATTTAAACTTACTTGTTAAATCAATGAAATTCTGAGCTTGCTCTTCCACCCACTTCTGATAGTAAAATTTGACATTATCTTTATGCTTTCTTCCATTACAATGAGTTTTTCTCACAGACGGCTGAATGAAAGGAAAAATATAAATAAATAAACACTAAAACGGGAAGCACAGCACACTCATAGTATGAGAAACACAATTTAAATCTTTCACAGCACTAAATTTTCCAAAGTGAAAATGATAGCACTACTGCTTGCCCACAGTTTGGTGCATGCTGAAAATTTGACTTTTATAATGGTGATAGCAATAACACAAGTACCAAAATGAAGGATTTCTAGCAAAGGGGTAAGTGTTTATTTGCTTTAATTTACAAACCGATAACTAACTAATAGCAGTATTTTTAAACAATGAAAATTGATGGAAAAGGGATTTAATTGCAAAAGAGGTTAAATGTTCAGCATGCAATGATAATATGGGTTTGACAGAGAGAACGGAACTGAATTGAGATTTTATTTGGGAGTGATGTAAAGTATGGAAGATTTATCCCTCTGCCAAATTACTAGATTTCTTGAAACATTTTTTATGCATCATATAATCCTTGTCCATGAACTATAATTAATCAGAGCATGTGTGCAATACGAAATTTACAAACTTCTCCTATAAAACGAAAACTGATCACTATGTATATTGGTAGAAAAAAAAAAAAATTAATGTGCCATATTATAAATGTAATGTTTAAATTGCACAATGCTGAATTTGTGCAATTCTGATGTTTTCTAAGCGAAAACAGATCACTAAGTACACAAGAGAAAAATACAATCATTATGTATAATGTTCAATATATTGTCGTATTATTGTAAATTGTACTCTTGATCATCATTTTTGCATTTTAAATTATTTTCTTTTGATATACTGATAATGTCTGCTCAGTTACTATAAATATCAAGAGTGATCCCTTCCCTATAACATTTTAACGATTTCAATTTATATATTTGCTCTCAGACACCAAAGCATACAGCTTTCAAATTCTGCATTAATAAATCTATTAAAGTACTCACATAAGCAGTTTTTCTACAAGTTCATAAACTTTGTACTGAACTGCATATATCTACTGATTCTCAGTTTTATTCAGGCAAATAGTTTTTTTTTTTTCTTTTTCCGAGTTTACACATTTTTACTCGGCAGGGCTGTAGAGTCGGTAGGAAAAATGGCAGACTTCGACACCCTCATATATATATACAAATATATACACATGGGTTACAGCTTATTTTTTTAATATAAAAGAAGTAATAGATGCTACAGAAAAAAAGTGAGACTGTAGTGTAAAATAATATGGGTTTGACAGAGAGAACGGAACTGAATTGAGATTTTATTTGGGAGTGATGTAAAGTATGGAAGATGTGGTGCCCCTTCGATTCGCGAAAATTTTTTTAAAAAAATTTCGCCGATGAACTCATTTCCCGTTACCATGATAGTTTTAACCTTGTTTTAGTTTCCTGATTTTTTTTAATGAAAATAGATTCATGTGTACATAGGCAAATTTAAATCAGTGCGCAATGCCTTGTTTGTGCAATTCTGGAATTTTTTTTTTTTTTTTTTTTTTTTTTTTAAGTGAAAACAAATCGATGTGTACATGGATACAAAGTTTGCGCAATTCTTCGACTTCTTAATTTGGTTTCGTGTAGTGGTCATCTTGAAATTCTGCCTTCCTGGCGTTAAAAAAGAATCGCCAAAATACAAGGGGCACGCAATTGGAAACTTTTACCAAAATTGATGGCAGAGCAAGTTATTTATATTAATTAGCATGTATTATGAAACGGAAAAACTGGCATTAGTTATTTCTAAGAAACAGTATAGCTTCGCCAAAATTTTCTTTGTTGGAGGACCATGGATCCAATTTGATAAACTTCAGAGCTGAGAAGTCTTTCCATACTAACCTGAGTACGAGGAAGAGCTATTACTGTTAGGGCTACTTCTTTTAATTTTTCAGGATATATTTTTATAAGTTCTAAAAGAGGTGTCTTTCGCAATCATATTTTTCTACTTCTTCAAAGGCCGTGTAGAAATCTTGTTTGTATATTTTCATTTTTATACCTAAAGGCTCTTGGTTCTTTATTTTCATTCGCTTTGCCTTAGCATTTTCAATATTATCCAAAAATATTTCTCAAAATCTAATTCATCACTGGAAGAGGATGATAGAGACTTAATTAAATGTCTTCAGTTTGACTGTCCTGATTCAAATTCTCCAATTGTTCTGAGACTAATTTCATTATTAATGAAAATTCATAGAAGGCTTTCTTTGCCTTTTTAATTTGTTTGTCATCCAAAAAAATTCAGTGTTTCGAATCTACATTTATTGAACCCAGCAAGATCTCAAACTAGTTCTCTTTTCTTTATTGAAGAAATGATTCCTTCTGCAAATAAACCCTTCATTTCAGAATCCCATTCTCACCTCTGGTCAATTCTTCAGATTGCAGCTTTTTTGTGGCTATATACAGTATAGAAAGAAGAGTTTCAAATTCTGCAAGATCATTCCAGTCTTTCCGTTAGTGAAATATTAAGGTTATCTAAATCTCCAAAAAAGTTCTTAATTCTAAAAACCTCTTTATCATCTAATAGTATGTACTTATCACATTGCTTGATCAACAATTGGTCTTTTTCTTGCTTGCTTCCTAAGAATGGCATCGATTTTAGGAGTTCTTGCTGCTATTGCTGCTTATCTAAATTTATCAGCGAGATTTGTAACTAAATGAATCAGTTTAATCACTAATGGCAAATATCACATCCATCCTCCTCTCTTATAGTTATTTATTAATAGGTCAATAAAATAAAAAATAACTATTTATTAATGTATACAATCCATAAATAAAAATAACTCAGCTTGTCATTAATTTTTTTCAATTCATTTTAATTACATTTCAAATTCAAACTGTTAAACGAAAACTGGAGGAGTCGACCTCCTTTTACCCCAAAATCTGCCCGACTCCGATTCCGACTCCACTCTAGTACTCAGATTAACACATTTATTTATTTTTTTGGTACTATTCGGTTTTGAGGGCCGTAAAAAATCACCAAACTAGTGTTGATGCCAGTGCTGCCAAAAATAATCGCGGCAACCCTAACGCACGAAAGGAAATATAATAGTAAATAACTATCTAAGATTGATGTTTTAATTTAGATGAAAGGTTAATTTCATATAATACTTTTTTTTATTATAATTTATATTAAAAAAGGCTAAACATGACTGAATGGAAGAGTAAATAACTATTTCAGATCATTATTATAATTTATATAAAAATTGCTAAACATAACTGAATGGATGCCTGCATCGCTATTTCGCTAACGAGTTATCGCTAAAGAATAGTTTCATCTCGTTGGTTGTTCAAACATAATTTTCTATAATGAATGATGCCTTTTCTTTGAAAAACTTCTCGGTAAAGTGCAGAATTGCCCACTTCTTTGTATGCCTCTTTTTTACAAGGGTTTTGTTTTATACGGGCACAGCCCTTCCGCCTGGTTTGTTGAACCTTATGAAGGTAACGTTCCATAAGGTTCAACAAACCAGGCTTTTTACAAGGGTAAAAACAATTGGATTTTTGTCAATTTTCTTTTACTTTTTAAGTGAAAATAAGTTGATGTGCACATAGATAAAGTCAAGGGTGTGCGCAGTGCTATTTTTTTGCAATTCTAGGATTTTTTAAGTGAAAATAGGTCGATGTGCACGTGGATACCGAGTATGTGCAATTCTTAAAAACGTGTCAAGAAGTGGGTGATTCTGCACTTTACCCAAAATTCTACTGCAGATTTTTCGCCATGGGCAATTCCCAAATTGTTAAATCCACAGGATATCAAAAAAGGATTAAAAAATTAAACTAGTATTTCAATGGCATCTTCAGAAATATAGAACTATATAAACTTACACAATCTGAAATCAGCGTGTATTCTAGATTTGGTGCGCTGTTAAATGGACACGTTTGCTAGATTTGACACTTTTGTGCATACATTTTCGCTGCAATTTTTTTACGGTCCTCAAAACGAAATAGTACTTTTTTTTGTTAGCTGTAAAATTGAACAAGTATTATTTAAAATGTCAAGCAGAAATTAAAAAAGAAATAACATTAACAGAACTAATTAGCCAAAACTAGTTGGAAGCTGTAATAACTATATAACTTACAGCAAAGCACAAAAACCACACAGCCGATGCTCATAGCTTAAACAGTATACTATTTATTTTTTTTACGCAAAAATTATTCTTTAAAGGAGAAATGACCCGAAATTACCCACGATTCACCCATAAATTATGATCTCTTTGAATAAAGAGATAACTAAACCAGCAATCGAAACCTTTCAGTCACATGTTATACTTGAAATTCTGCTTTGTAAAGCTCCATATAAAAAGTTATAACTAGGTAGCAGATTAACTTTTGTTACAAAAATGCTCTCCTAAACCAGAACTTCAGATAAAAAATACTTAGTAAGGCACAGAAACTTCTAATTACATTTTTCAAGAAGAGTTTTCATAAAATATGCATTTCAAATACACAGATTTATAAAATTAAGAACTTTTACAGGTTAAAGTGCAGAATAGCCCACTTATCTGATTTGCGTTTGTTTGGCGGTTTTTAAAAGGGTAAGAAGAATTGGATTTTTGTCAATTTTCTTTGACTTTTTAAGTGAAAGTAGGTCAATATGTACATGGATAAAGTCAAGGGAGTGCCCAATACCATTTTTGTGCAATTCTGGGATTTTTTTGAAGTGAAAATAGGTAGATGTGTACATGGATACGGAGTATGTGCAATTGTTAAAAACGCGCCAAGCAGTGGGCGATTCTGCACTTTCCCCGAAAAACAACTATTAAAATACTGATTAAAATGTCAAAAATTTATTCATGAGCAAATTTTCAATACAAAGGAAAAAAAAAAAAAAAAAAAAAGAAAACCTTACCGAATCATGGGTCAAATATGTATCACAGTAATCACAATAGTACCTGAAAAATAAATTACGAGTTAAAAACAAAGTAATTAAGAGAGTCTGCACTAAAGTTAAAAGAAAACGTTTCATATAGATATAAGTAATTGCAATGAGATATAATACAAAAGAAAGTTACATAAAATTCAAGAAAACAAGCAGTTAAATCAGAAGAAATTCATTCCTATGATATCCTCTAGTAAGTGGAATGAACATTCTAGAATTTAACAGCTCAGCAATTAATCACATAAAGTAAATATAAAAATACTATAAATTACTTCGGCATTTCACTCTTGAATATCCAGTTAAATCAGAAAAATACTTTAATCGATTTGAAACAACAAAGTAACAGGAAAATACAATCCCCACAGCGGAGTTCACTGTTGTATGTAACCACTCATGTAATTTCCAATACACCAAACTATTAGTAGTCAGTCATTCAATAATATACGCATTTCACTTCATTTCTAAATTGCTTCTGCATCATTCAGAAAATTCTGGCATATAATGTACTTTTTAAATTGATATTAATAGGCTATTGAATAGATATTTGTTTCTCGATTTTTATAAAATAATCGAAATTTTAAAATAAAAGAGTGTCGTGGGAAACCTTAATTATGGTATCAAGGTGGATTATATATCTGTGAATATATCTCCTTTCCTACAATTTAAAGATTTCAACATTAAAATTTGAAAGAAATTATTTATTTAATAATTTTTATTATCTTTTGATAAAGCTTGAAATAAATTAAATGTTTCAAAATTTCTCGCAAATGAGAAAAAAACAAAATATGTTGCAGGTTAATGATCTAAAATTAGGAAAGCTTCCAAATAAATTTCCTTACAGTGTTTAAGCACTTGCTGTAAAATATAGTTCACAGTTATAGTATAAAAACATAATTAATTAAAATACGACATTTTAAATAATTTTACGAATTTGGCAACAGTAAAGAACATGCACGCAGTTTATAAGTCAATATTTCCGATAATTTAATATAGTAAATTTCGTGAATTTGAAGCTCTAGATTTTGTTTTGTAGGTTAGTAGATTATTATTTTATTCAAAATTTAGCAAAGTAAAATGTCAGCACCATGTTTTGCTCCACATATACAAACTCAATTGGAAGAGATTATAAAAAGAGGAAAAATTGGAATATGCCCCGGACCTCTAAAAATTTTAAATCCTATGTCATCGTGTCCTGTGTGGGCTCAAGGGTCTGCTTACGACAGATTTAAGCTTGTTATTCCGTATGGTGGGCATTCAGTTGACTGGGATGTAATTTTTCAGGCTGGTGCACCTGACAGCCCACCAGATTTCATTTTTGTGGATACATTTTTTGTGGATTTAACCGATGTAAAAAGTCTGATAAATTACAACTCCAGTAAATCAGACGCACTTTTAACAGTACTTAAAGAGCTTCTTCATCATTATCAGAAGTATCAAGTTGCTCACTTACAAAAATATTCTCGAGTGCAATTTGAATATTCTACTCTAACTCAGCAAACAAATATAAAAGATGAAGATATTGAAGTATATGTAGGTGAGGATAAAGATGGACCTATCAACTTTCTCATTCGGTTAGGAGTAACATTTTCTGGGATTCCTCCAGTCTTTAGAAATGAATCTGGGGATGATACAGCTTTATTACTGGTGACTTTTAATGATCCTGAAGGTACTAAGATTACACCAAAGTTATGCTTACCTCCAAAAATAGAACATGCCCTTGGTTCCCCATTAACCTGGCGTATACCAGCTTTTTCAAGTGATGGGTGTCTTATGGATTATGTGCCTTTTGTGCAAGAATCTTTGCAAAAGCGGGTAGAAATTGTAGCATACAATTTTGAGAAAAGAATGGAATACCTATTTGTGTTTTTAGAGCATTTTGAAGGTTGTTTTATAGAATATGATAGAGACTTAGCCTCTAAAGCTACATTTTTATTAGAACAGAATGACTTTTACTTCTTGTTCCAGGTAGATTTACCCTTGAACTTCCCGATGAATAAACCATCATTTACTTTTCGTTCTATCTATCATTCAGCATTTGAAAAACCTTTTTCTACTACTGTGATAAATTATCCATATAATCAGGGTTGGTGTGCTGAAACTATGCTTGAAAAAGCAATAGAATTTGTACAAGAATATGCGCTGGTCTTTCAACAAAATTCTGTTCAAAATGGATTGTCTCCATGACCTCAATTGCTGCTAGGAAAGCTTCCTAAATTTTATATACTGGCATTAAACTTAAAAATATAGATGTAGTATATTTTTAAAATTTGAATATGTGTGTTTGTAATATTGAAATTTTTGAATTGTGAAATAATAAAGTTTATGTGCTTGAGTTTCATTTTCCCATTAGTTGTTCTTATGAGAGAATTTTATAAAATAAGATATATTTACATTATTTGTGACGTTTTACTTATGTTGCAGGTGAACAGATTTTTTTATGTATTTAAGAAATTTATAGAAGCTGTATTTTGCTTTATTGTTTGCAGAATTCTTTAGTAAATTATGTGGTGAAAGTTTTGTTCTGTAGAAAGTTTATTTAAGAATAATGTTGATATACTTATGTATATTGAAATGCCAATTATTAGTACATTCAGTTAATATGTATTCTACAGAATTGAAAAAGCTTTAAAGTAAACAAATATCTTTCATATTGTGTAATAAATCAGAGCAAGATGTTACATATTTGGATGTTTTAATCATACTGTACCTTAGCAGCTTGCAAAGAAGAAACAGAACCTTTCATTTGTTATGCTATCATTTTTTACATTTTCTTTATTACTTTGCTTATTTGTTTTGTAATTTGCAATCATGTCAGATTGAGTGGTTAAATGTTAATTAATTTCTAATGTAATTTGAATATTCTGCTCTGATGAATGTATTTAATTTTCAAAATTAAGATTAAAATTAGTAATCAAAATGTATGATTTTTGTTTTGTTTGAATCTAAATATTTTTCAAGTTAGTTTATTTAAATGTATCATTGTTACCTTGTTTTAAGGAGAAATGGAATGTTTATAAATATTAATTCCAGAAACTGTATTTGTGTGATGATCATATTTAAATAAATGCTTTTCTTATTTCAAATGCTGGAAGTGCTTATTTTTTTAGTGACAATTATTTTATAATTTTTCTAAACAAGTATTCTCAAGGTATTAATTGGAATAATAATGTTCAATATACTACATTATCTGTTTCCAGTGTAATTTTTATCTTTTGTTGTTATCTCTTTACATGGTAATGAGAATGTTTAAAAAGTATGCCTGTAGAAAATAATGCATTAGAAGAAAAATGTTAAAATGCCCGAGTGCTGTATCATAACTTGGTCTTAATTTAATTGAGAAAGTATAGAAAAGATTTCAACTGTGGGGAGAAGGGGAGTCTTCTTTTACCTTTTGTCTCTGTTATACTAAACAAAGTTTCTTGAAAACTATTTTTGATATCAGTCAGTTTATTTAAATGTACCAATATAAATATCAAGATAAATATTGATTGTACTTAAATCATGGATATTTATTCCAGCATTTCTAAAGTATGATTTGTAATGTAAAAAAAAAAAAAAAAAAAAAAATTAGGTACTTGAATGAGAATTAATTTGTCTGAATCACTTTTAAAGAAGATATAATGAATACTTTTCATTAAAGAAAAGCGTTAGCATTTTCATGTTTCCTGGGAAACCTTTGTACCTAATACATGAAAAAAAGATGCGATTTTTTAAGTATCCACAATTTCTCTTTTTGTTTTCTTTTTTAATTTGCTGAATAAATTTTTAATTGACAATTTAACTCGGAGTTCTCTTCATTTGATAAGATCTAATAATCTATTTGATAATGTTTAAACCTTTAATAGAAAATTTAGTTGATATATTAAAATATTAAAGCCCATTGCATTTTAAGGTTTCTGTTTAATGTTATATTAGTTTTTTAAAGGAGGTAAAATAAAACCTCTACATAAAAGTAAAATAAAGGTGGTTTGCATTTATTCTTCTTGTTTAGGATTGTTATATGGTGTATCAACATCTGCTTTCAAACAAAAGAACTATTAATTTAATTATTTAGATCTTTTCATGCATTTTTTTATATTTTAATTATGGACTTAACATAATGCTGTTTTTAAAAAAAATCTTGATTTAAAATCGGGCAGAATTTTATTTTAAGTATTAATTTTATGGAAATTATGTTTTCTTTGTGAAACAAAGTTTTTTATTATGCAAATTATTTATATAATTTTGCTATTTGAAGGAAATAAATTTACATCAGATTCTTTCAAATTGCATCTTTATACAATCTTAATGTTAAATCTCGCATAATTTCAAAATTCTAGTTAGTCTGTTTCTGTTTTATATAACATTTATATAAATAGCAGTAGCACTGAATAAAGTTAATGAAACTTGAGTAATTTTCTTTAATAGTTACAATTTAATAATTGTGTTTTAAGTGTTCTAATGAAATTGACAGCAAGTGTTTACTGCATATTAAAATTTATCTGAATTATTTAAAGCAATGTAGGTAGGTGTTAACTTGGTGATGCTTCCATCAAGAAACTGCAAAAGTGTGTATCATATATGATATATTGATACTACTGTAGAATGTACGATTCAGATAACTTATTTCTACTAATGAAATTATCAAGTTTCAGGCATATAGAATTAATATACTCATGTCAACTCCTAACAAATGTGTTTGGTATGTGTACATAAATCTAATTAGTATGTGTACATGCATATATACACACACACATGAACTGTGTGTTGTTTTATATCTAAAATTAAAATTTTATGTTCCATGCTTTCAAACATTGAATATGTGCTTTTTAAATGAATGTAAATTGCTTAAAAAGTAATATAGTTTTCATTTCAGGTGAATTGTAATGGCAGTGAAACAGATTGGATATGATTTTTGGGATAATGTTTTGAAAAGTCCAAAATATGTTGCAGCTCCTATGGTCGATATGAGTGAGTTGTCTTTTCGGATGCTCTGCCGTAGTTATGGATCTGATCTTTGTTTTACTCCTATGCTTCATAGTCAGCAGTTTATACAAGACTCCTTGTATCGTCAAGATACATTTTCAACTTGTGCTGAAGATCGTCCCTTAATTATTCAAGTAAAGAATAAACATTTTTACTAATTTCTAATTCCACTTATTTAGTACTTTAAGCACATGAGAAGTTGATTTAAAAGATGATATTTGTCAAAAATTGCAGTGAGTAAGGACAACAATTTCAACAGTTACAGAAACATTATTTCACCATTTAGGCATTCTAATTGGAATAAACCACTTATTTAGTACTTTAAGCACATGAGAAGTTGATTTAAAAGATGATATTTGTCAAAAATTGCAGTGAGTAAGGACAACAATTTCAACAGTTACAGAAACATTATTTCACCATTTAGGCATTCTAATTGGAATAAACTGTTAAGCTAATGTTACATAAGTTTTTTCCTGCAATACTTATAAAAATTGCTTGATTGTAAAATATGATGTAAGCTTCAAACTAAAATGTAGTTTCTCAATTTTCAAAGACTTGAAAGTGACTGAAGAAATAAAAACTCTGAATATTTGCTATCTTAGACATTCAGTTCCAAGTGATTACATTGAAGTTTTCATGATTTTCCTAATTCATGTGAAAGCAATTTTCCTGTGAAAATTATTTTTCCTAACTTACTTTTTTTTCCTGGCACACATTAACAAATTGCAATTTTCTATTAAATGCATTTTATCAGAAAAAGTCATTACCTGCATTTTTCTTAAACAGATATTAAAATTACTATATTTGGCATTGATAAAACACTGGATTAATTATACTCCTTCCCTAAGAGAAATTGTTGAAGTCTTTATTATAGGTGTGGTTTACGTATTTCCAAATTTATTTACTTTTTAAAAATATTTTTCTGTTCTTAGCAGGAGAAATTGTGACTAATACAGTAGATAAGCAAAATTCATGACTGTGCTGAAAAATGAATTCATAAAAGATTTTGGTGCTATTCGGTTTCGAGGGCCGTAAATAATCGCCAAACTATTGTTGATGCCAATACTGCCAAAAATAATTGTGGCAACCCTAATAATTGCACCAAGAAAGGAAATATAATAGTAAATAACTATTTAAGATTGATGTTTTAATTTAGATGAAAGGTTAATTTCATATAATACTTTTTTTATTATTATAATTTATATGAAAAAAGGCTAAACATGACCGAATTGACCGAATGGAAGCATAAGAGTAAATGACTATTTCAGATTATTGTTATAATTTTATATAAAAATTGCTAAACATAACTGAATGGATGCCTGCATCGCTATTTCGCTACCGACTTATCGCTAAAGCATAACTTCATCTTCGTTGGTTGTCTCAAACATGTAATTTTCTATAATGAATGATGCCTTTTTCTTTGAAAAATATTCTCGGTAAAAGTGCAGAATCGCGTCCACTTATTGTTTGCCGCTTTTTACAAGGGTAATAAACAAATCGATTTTGGTCAATATTCTTTTACTTTTTAAGTGAAAATAGGTCGATGTGTACATAAGATAGAGTCAAGGGTGTGCGCAGTACCTATTTTTGTGCAATTCTGGGATTTTTTTTTTCTTTTTTTAAGTGAAAAATAGGTCGATGTGCACATGGATACCGAGTATGTGCAATTCTTAAAAATGCATCAAGCAATGGGTGATTCTGCACTTTACCCAAAATTCTATTGCTGAGTTTTCATCATGGGCAATTCCCAAATTGTTAAATACATAGAATATCAAAAAAGTATTTAAAATCCAAAAAGGATTTAAAAATTAAATTAGTATTTCAATGGCATCATAAGAAATATAGAAATATATAAACTTACGTAATCTGAAATCAGGGCATACGCTAGATTTGGCGCGATGTTAAATGGGCGCGTTTGCTAGGTTTGGCACTTCTGCGCGTACATTTTCGCTGCAATTGTTTTACAGTCCTCGAAACCGAATACTACCAAGATTTTTATTATTGTCCTAGCAAATAGCAAATGTATGTTTGTATTGTGCTCTTTTAGTTTTGTGCCAATGATCCTATTACATTTGTTAACGCGGCATCTATGGTTTCTTCTAAGTGTGATGGTATCGATTTAAATTTGGGTTGCCCTCAAGCAATAGCAAAAAAAGGTGAGTTTCTCCAATTTTTTTGTGTCTTAAGCGCATGATGTGCAACAAATTATATTTATAAAGATAGATATATTTTTACATTCTGAAAATAAGATTAATTTACTATGAATTTATAACAATGTATTTTGGGTACTGTTATGCTATCTGGACCAGATTCAGATAGTCAGCCAGAAGCAAAAACCTGACTATTTTGTGAAAAATTTGAAAAATAAAAATAATCACCAAAATGTTTATGATATGGTTAATTTGAAGAAAAATCCAAGGAAAAAATGGTACAACACTGATATACGCCCTAATTTCACCAAATGTGGCAATAATGTGTTTTGCGCTGGTTTTTGGCTCGATTGCGTGTTGTATGGCAACCCTGTTGACGTTGGAAAATCTTTTGCTGGAGTTCGTTGGTTCTCGTCACGCTTTGTGTCTGAGAAGCTAGGGGGAAAAGATTTAATGGTGAAAGTTGTTGAATTGAAGTCCAGCATAAGGAAATATCGGTGTGGCCATCCTGTTGAGGGGCAATGGGTATTTGGAGGTGTGGAAAGAAGGTATTGGAGATTATTTTTAGTGGCTGTGCGTGATAGAAGTAGGGATTTATGATTATTTGTTTATTTTATTTATTTGTGAACCATAGTATGAATTTTCTGGATAGTGTGTCTAGCTGTCATATAAATACGATAGTGATTACGTGGCGGCATGTTAAAGGCGGTATGAAATTGGTATTTCTGCTGTTCGAAAAAGCATTAATGGTAAGCGCATTTTATTTTATTCTTGTTCTTATTTTGTAGAATGTTATGTTCATTGTTTTTTTAGTATGAATTTCTGTTGTTATTGTTGTTTTTTCGAATTGTTTGAAATTTATTTTAGTTATTTTGTTGATTAGTGCATACTGTCTAAATTGTGCAATTGTAAAATTTTTTTAAAGTTGAAAACAGAACGCTGTGGTACATGGTATCTTTGAAATTTATTGTTGTTATGTTAATTTATTAAAGTGAGGTGTGCATAGTTCGTAAATTTGTTTGTTGCCTAAATTGTGCAATTCATAGATGTTAAGTTGAAACAGGATGCTGTGTACATGATATTCTTTGAAATTTATTGTTATGTTAATTTATTAAAGCGAGGTGTGCGTAGTTCATAAATTCATTCGTTGCCTAGATTGTGCCATTCGTAGATTTTTTTAAAGTTAAAACATTTCGCTGTATACATGGACTCTTGTCAAATAATTTTGGTTAGAAACTTCACGGTTTTGCTATCTAAATTTTTGTTTCGGATTTTTAGCTTAAATTGTGTGTTCAAAACGTGGTTTTTGGAGACATTTTAGGCTTAAAGTTCGAAATGTAGAAAAAAAATTTAGATAGCAATATGGCAGCGTGGAGTTTCTTGCCAAAAATATTTGACGAGAAATTTGGCGTCTTGAGGGCACATATCAGAGTAGTTCCGAAAAAATAACGGATATTTGTAAAATTAAACATTTTTGATGTAAATTAAATAGCTTTACAAAGAAATCAGAAAAAAAAAAAAAAAAAAAAAATATTACCAAATTAAAATTAACACAGAGGCATAAAACTGTGTATCTCATTTAAAATGTCCGAAAAATTTTTGCTTTAGGACACTGCTACTGCCACATAATTAAATAAGAATCTAATTGGTTGAACATTGAAGTTTATTTCGCCATTTTTGCACTTCCCTATATCCTTTCAATAGTTTGCATATGATGAGTATTGGGATTGATAAAATTATATTTATGGTTAATATAGAAATGTTTCAAACAGGCTTCTTTTTATTCTTCAGTGTTATACTTTTTCCAATAGTCTGAGCATATTATACAGTCAAAAGTCATTAATCCGGACTCGTCAGGACTTCGGCTATTCCGGATTATCGATTTTTCCGGATTATAGATCATCAGTTTAAATATGGTAAGATGGCATGCAGAAATTATAAAATTAAAAATATGAAACCATAATTTATGAAATAAAGAACAATTATGATCTAAAGGGTATCAAAATTTACAAAAAAAAAAAAAAAAAAAGCTTAATATTTATTTGTTTACTTTATTAAACATTTCTTTCAATGTAAGTTGTTTAAGTTGCTTTGTTTTTTATGTGATAATACTTTCTCTTTAATTCTATAAACAGACATAATTTCTTGTTCAGTTACAAAGTTTTGCTGTTTAAGTCCTATAATTGCTATGTCAAGAATACCGACTAATTTGCCAATCGAAATTTTTTCGTTTTCAATAACCTCTGTGTCCTGTGTCACAAGGATGACCAACATTGTTCGAAGCGAAAACAGACTTCTAGAATATTACCTGTGCTGTCAGTTTTGACTGGTGGTTCAGACATTAATGCCTTCCCGTATATAACTGTTCCGATTAACAATAGTGCAAAGATTCATATCAAGTTGATACTGAGAAAATTCAATAGAAGTTAATTCTGAACACCACAACAAATGAAATGAATTTCCTCTAAGAAACTGCTTCTCGATTCTTCAAACAAATTTTGAAAATGCATCTTTCTTTCTTTTTTTTTTCTCAGCATGTCATATCTATCCAATTCAGTGCTTCCTTCCAATTGAGGTAGAGTTTCATTTTATGATTTTTCATGCATTTTCTTTCCAAGTGAATAATTCCTCATTCCTGAAGAAATTGTATGGAAAAGGTTTTATTATTAGGTAAGACCCAAATTTTCATATCCATCATAAATGGGAGGGGGAAAAAAAAAAGATATATGAAAGCTTTCAGATTTTATATTATGTCCAAAAAGGCAATTTTTACACTTTGCATGTAATCTTTATTTATTAAAAATCATGTTCTTTGCACCTAAATCATAAAATTCAATTCAGCAGCGATATCACAAAATATTTAAATGAGCATGTCTTTAGAATTTCTGATACATTGTCTCGTGTTCTGGAGATAAAAATATTTTTTTTTTGTACAGTGCTGCCATTTCGTGCTTTGAAATCGTTGAGTTTCTGAATCAAAAACTCATAAGTGCTTTACGAAATATGAAATAGATAATAAAACAAATTCAGGCTTCGAGATGACTGTACTCAGGTGGAGACGTACGTTATTCAAAATTGGATGGCTCTAGGTACCGTTGTTTTATCGCAATATGAGAAACATACATACATTTATGCAGATTTTTCATTATTTAATTTCTTTAAATATAATACAGAGTGATAATATTTGATGGCAACAATTTAAAAAGTGATTTGCCATTTATAATGAATCAACACAAAATGCCAAAATGGAATTAATAGTACATCTGGGGAAATTGCCCCTTTGAGCTAAAAATATACCTTTGCAGAAAATTAACACTTTATTCATATATGTATATGTAATAATATATACATATATATACTAATAAACTACAAAGAGTTAATAATGGTGACTAAACACAATTTTTAATTTTGCAGAAGCTTCAACGCATTCAACTCGCCTTTTAGATAGGGTGAGTACAAACTTATAAGCAAAAATATTGGGATTTGTCCTTTTGGGCTAATAATAATACAAACACGAGCAACCGTTATATCTTTAGAATTTCTATTTCCATTGCCAATGACTTCCTCTATAAAAAGTAACTATTGTAACTATTTTAAAAGTAAATAATGGTGGGTCTATATGAACCAGTCTCTTGGCAAGTTTAGCAAAACATTTGGTGACAGCTTTGGTCCTGAAAACAGAAAAGTACCATATTTTGTTATCTTTGTGCTATAAAATTGAAATGCAATTAAAGCGAATGTTTTTCTGAACAGTTTTTAAAAATAAAAGGTACAGCGCAAATTTTATGTATATATGAAAAAATTGTATAGTTTTTCTTTTAATATTGATAGTTTTGTCTAATAAATAAATTTTGTAAAGTCTTGTGTCTGTAAAACACGCACAAGGTGATGTAGATAAGATATAAGTGAAAAGCTATCCATAGAATGTTATGGAAAGCTCATAACTTGAACTATATATTTAATCATAAAATATGAGAGCTATCTTCATTAGGAATGTAGGAGTAAGGCTTAATTTTTGAAATTAAAAGCGCTGGAATATTATGGATGACCAGCAGGATTGTTGAGAAATAATTAATTAAAATGAAAAATTAATAATTAAAATTAAATAATGTATACATAAGTAAAAATATTTACAAATTCATTAACCCACAATAATTATAAATTAAATTACATAATGTATCCTAAAAATGAAATGAAAAACTAATAAAAGGTGATTAATTAATGATAATAAGATATGGTATGCCAATAATAAAAGAAGATTTTTAAAGAATATTGAGATTAAATAAAATTGCTTTTTATTTTGGTTTCTAATTTATGCAAATATTTCTTAATTGAATGAGTAGAATCCATAAACATTTTTCTTGAAGAGGAAGATTGCATCATTTATTTTTTCATCTTAGTTAGGCTCAATATTCTGTGTCTGGAATTATGGTTTTTCTCAAAAACGGAGAATTATGAACGGGCTCCTGTGAACATCAGCTGGATTTAAGCCTTTTATGTATGAAAGATGCTTTTGTGAGGTTAAAAACCACTAAAACTGAAAGTGGCTATCCTGTATCTTGAGAAATGAATTTTGGATGTATTCTCACTTAGTTAGTTAATATTTTGTGGTTTTAATCACTCAACATTTAATGGGCTGTTGTGTATAAAAGCAATGACTGAAACAAAATGCAATTACCATATATTCCGGGGTATAATACACACCTGTAATTTGAAACTACATTTATAAATTTTTAGGTACACTGCGTAAAAAAAAGGAGGGGGACAATTCTATATCTCCTGTTTTACTGGGCCGATTGACGAAATTCAACTTGCATTTTTCATCACTCGAAAGCATGACTTAGGATATGTATTTAGATTTATATATAGTATTGTTCTAATATAGGTATTTTGACACAAAATTGGACTTTTTCTGAAATAACATACCAATTTTCTTCCGTATTTTGATTCTTCAACTCAAATTACGCCAAACTACCATATTGTGTGAAAATCGCATGAGTAGTTTTTAAAAAATTAACTCTCAAAATTTTAGCTCTTCAATGTTAATTGAGTTTGGTATGTATTTAATAATCTCTCTTTTTTTTATTAAACTTATTTGATTCTTTCTTTCACATTTCGAAATTCAGGTTCGTTCCAAATAAAGTTCTCTCATTTTTTTTATGATTTATTTTTAAAATTTGTGTTTTTAAAGATTTTGTTTTTAAAATTTGTATTTTTAAATAATTTTTATAAATTTTTCAAAAAATTTTTGAATTATCTATAAAAACTTTACCATCATCTTAAAGTAGACGTATTTCTAAGCATACCTGCAAAAAATTATAGTTTTTTATTCAAAATTTCTGAAGATATACGTGAATTTATATATTGGCCCATTTTGAAATTTGGAATATTTGTTGAAAGCAATAAAACATCAAATGTCGTGTAGACACTTTGCTAAAATTATTTGGAAGTGACCTTTTTTTCCACGAAGTGACCTTTTTTTCCACTCATGCACAATGTAAAAGGGTAGGAATGAGGTGCCTTTTTTCTGCTCCGGCATAATGGAAGGGAAAGGAGAATTGGTTGTCACATGTTAAGAAATTTGGCAAATGAATTATTCCTGCCATAAACTGAAAAAAATTTGCCAAGATAAATTTTTGAATTTCTCTGTAAATTTCGCATCAAATTTTACAAAATATAATATCGAGATATAATTTGAGCCATAGAATCGAAGTATGGAAAAAAATTGTATGTTATTTCAGAAAAAGTCCAATTTTGTGTCAAAATACCTATGTTAGAACAATGCTATATATAAGTTGCGCTTTCGAGACATGAAAACGCAATTTGAATTTTATCAATCGGCCTAGTAGAATGGGGGATGTAATAACTGTCCTCCTTTTTTTGCGCAGTGTACATTTGCCATATAACGTGCACCCTTTTCTCTACGAAGAAGCCTGAAAGGTGATGCATGTGCGATGCTGTTACCTTTTGAAGTCATTCATATAAAGACTTTTCCCATACATTCAAACAATGGTATACTGAATCGACAAGTGATAATGGGAGCAATATGTGTGTCGGGAGAAGTGCTTGACAGAGTACAAAGAGGGTAGTTTGTATTTAATGCAGGTGTGTACAAGAGTGTCATTCTAGAGTTTCGAGAAATGTTTAACAGAATTTGGGGTAGGAATGCATTCTGACCTGAATGAATTCGCGGAATTCGGAGACGGATGTTTTCTGTAGTCATTTGAAGCCATGATTTTGCAGGGAACATTGAAGGCTTGAAGAATAAATCACATTTGCTTGAACATTGAAGAATAAATCGCATTTGCTTTAGTTGATATACAATTGTTCTAGCGTTCCTTTTAGTAGTAAATATGGCTCTTGCTAAATGAAACAACACTGCTGAATTCAAATGCAGAATCATTCAGTTTGCGAAAGAAAATGGAAATTGCGGAGCAGCAAGGATGTTTCGTGTTGGTGAAAGGTGGAACGGATGATTGTTTATTTATGGATCAAAACAACAATGATGGTGAAGATGAGAATTCAACAGTGTTTGAAGATATAATGGATGATGAAATTCTCTTCATCTTCATTCTTTCATTTTTCATGATAATGAAAATTTTTAAGTTCATAAGGCATGTCATTTCTTTTAAATAAACAGCATTTAGGTACCTTAAAAAAATGTAATTTTTGTATGCTGATTTTTTCCTTATTTTTAATCTATCATTTTTATATCCAGTGTATAACGCACATCCGTAAATTTCAATGTTATTTTTTGTATTAAAAGTGCACATTATACGCCGGAATATATGATATTTGCATTTATTATGAAGTACATAACTCTTATTAAAATTTATTCTTATCTATCTATTGTATTTTTTTTTACTTCATAAATCTTTTTTTTGTTAAGTTATTATTATTATTATTATTTATTTTCTCATCTTCATTTGATCAAATCTCTTTGTGTCTGTTGGTAATTAACTTCATCTTTTGATGAATTACATGAATATATTAAATATAAAAATAAAAACAATAAATGAATAAAATTAATTACAAAACTATATGCTTTGTTGAATAGAAGTTTTATCTTTATTTATAATGAAAAAACAATGCTTCAGGAACAGTTTTTCAAATATGAATTTATTAATGATTTTTCATGATTCATTTACATATTTCTGTTTTTAAGGCCATTATGGAGCATTTTTGCAAGAAGATTGGGAATGCATCCACAGTATAGTCCAAAAAGCTGCTAATGAGCTTTCTGTTCCTGTTACATGCAAAATGAGAATTTTACCAGGAAATTTTAGAAAATCAGTTGAATATGCTAAGTAATTTTGTACATTAACTTTTTATTAGTGTTTTGATATCTCCATAATGTACATAAAAATAGAGATATATGTATAAAAATAGAGATATATGTACATACACTTAGAGATATATGTTAATTTTACATGTTAATTGATTTATTAAAGAAACTGAAATTGAGGGTGATATTAATTAATGAACAGAAGATTGAGAGAAGGGTCAGTGGAGGAATTTACAATTAATTTTGTTCTCAAGTGTAATCTTGCAAAATTTTGCTTTGGAGATTATTTTTGTTCTTTACCAATATAAATGACTGATTTATTAAATGATGCTGATACTCTATAATTATTTCTTATTTCCATTTCAAGTTATCAATAAAGCCACCTTTCATGTGAAAGAGTAGTATTGTAAATAAATGTGTTTATTTGTTTGCAGTTAAGTTTTTATGTATTTTTGTTTTGTTATGTATTTGTTTTAGTTAATGCATTTTGTATGGTGATTTTATATTTGTTTATTGCATACTTTATTTAACCTTGAATCTGTGACACTTATTTTATTTGTATTTTATTTAATTTGTGTATTGATTTGTAGAACTTTTAATTCTGAGTCAATTTACATTAGAATTGTTAGGAAAGTTCAAGTAGAATCAGAGATATGGACAGAAATACCCTACCATGACTTGGTAACACTTTCAGTTGCCAAGTTATTGATATATGGCAATTTCTTGCAAATTTGATGACATTCTGAAAAGAAAATCCATTTCTCTGAATCATTTGTCTTAGGAGCCACTTTAATATAGTGACTAGGGATGTTGGCTGTCATACTTATGGCCTGAATTTAAATCTTGGTGACACTGTACTTGTACTAACAGTGGGAAATTCTGATGTTCCACTTACTTGTACCTGTATGTATAGTAACTGGAATCCAAGTTTTCTGAAATGCTTCAGAAGTGCTTAGTGTCCAGTCTTAGAAATAATACCTCCTCTGGTTGTCTACCTCTGATTTTGTCTCAGTGAGACAGAATTCACAATGTTACTGGCTCCTGGGCTTATCTACACTGAGCCATGAAAGATGCGTCTTTGTATGATAAGTTCTGGTTCTGGCAATAACAGTAGAACTAGAACAGTTGTGGGTCAGTAGTAATTGGGTTGAGACTCCTAATCTGTTTTACACTGCTAAGCCTTCTCTTTAGTGATTATTGCTTAAGGCTGGTCCAGAAGCAGTTTTGGTGATCTGCAATACTCCTCATATATTAATAATTTTACCTTGTCTGTATATGTTTCTTCATAATATATTATATATAGCTATTTATCTTCTTTGTAAAAGCTGTTATTCATCTCAATTAGGAATGATGTCTTAAATTTTCCAGTTTTAGTTAGTTAAAGAAATCTCTGTGAACCCATCACTTATAATAGTATTTTTATATTGAGATTTTATTTGTATTTGTAATCTGTATATACTGGAAAATATTCCATGGATCTATTGAACTAAATTGTAAGAATTTTATTTCACCACTAGTGTACTACATGGATATGTTGTACAATATTTAATTCACCTTTCTGTTTATTCATAAAGAACTGAAATACTTTTTTAAATTCTTACATCTCTGAAATAGAAAATGAAATGTTTAAAGTAGTTCTCATAGATTCTTTTAATGAGATCTTGAAATACAAATCAACTGAAAATTCCGGTAGAATTATTGCTGTGTAGTCAAAGTTTAGAGATTTTAATATATTTAGGTGTAAACTGTTGACTATATAAAGCATATTATACAGTTCTTGACAGTTCATCTGAAGGAAGAGAAAATAGTGAAGGACAATCAGGATGGTTACTCAGATTAAAATAATAAAGGATGAAGTTTTTATTTTTCATGGAAAAGAAGTATGGGATTTGAGTTAAAATAACATGCCAAATAACAATTTTTTGGGGGGCAGTTAAGACAACAAAAATTTAAATATTTATAAATTACAGAAATTCAACTTTCAGGTCATTTTTAGTTTTGTCAACAAGACTTACAGTTCCATGCTTACGGACCCCATTTCAGATTTGAACCCCTGGGATATAAACAATAGTCCTTACCAATGTGATGTACATTGTGATTACCATTGTGATGGTCAAACTAAGAGAGCCTGGAAATTTCTTGCTAAGGAACATGAGGTGTATGTTAAAAAAGAAGAAACCTATAAATTCTTTATTGCTGAGTGCTATTGGACAGAAAATTGCATTTTCCATTTTTCTACAGCCAGAATTATTCAAAAATATAACATCTTTCTCTGGTGAATTAGATTTTGTAGAAGAGTTTCACATTCATAAAAATCTTTCGGTTTTAGTTAACGATTCCAATTTCAATCTGTCATTACTCTCAGCTTTTGAGGAAATTATTTCATATTTTCATGAATAGATGGCACCTGTAGCTTGATTTCCTTCCTCTCATTCTTATCATTTTATCTTATCATTTTTTCTCTTTCGTTATTTGCACTTCTGCAGCTGAAGAAAGTTCTATATTTAAGTTTTCAAAACTAGTCCTGGAAATTTATGAATATTATGCTTATTCTTGTTGCTTTAACTCCTCCAATAAGTATGGGACAAAAAACTTAATTCAATCATTTTAAATTCTTAAGATTAAGTTGGATGATTAGATTTATTAATGATTTATTATGATTAGATTAGGTTTAACTGTCTGAATTGAGTGCAGCCACTGTCTTTTTAAAAAAAAAATTATTTAACTACAATTCGTAAACTCATAAACTGATCAGTAAATTTAAAGTTTAAAAGTTTAATGAATGTTCAGAACATTCTCCACCCCCTTTTTTTGGGCTATTATTATTAGCTATGATTTTGACAAAATATTATTTGGTCGAATTGCTTTTGAAACTATAATTTTGTAAAATTTAAATGCAGTCTGACATGATAATATTTTGTCATTAGACTACTTTATGTCATTTAATAATATGCAATAAAACCAGTTATATTATAACTGTTTAATTTTTTTTTTTATTTTTAAATTGTATGAATGGAAAAATATGTTTATATATCTTTGTAGATACATTAAATAGTAAAGTAAATTTTTTTTTTTTTTTTTTTTTTTTTTTTTTTTGCAGGATGTTAGAAAATTCTGGCTGTTCTGTTTTGACAGTGCATGGTAGGACCAGAAAGCAAAAGGGGCATGCAACTGGTCTTGCATCTTGGGATGTTATTAAAGAAATAAAAGCAAATGTAAAAATTCCTGTCATTGCAAATGGAAATATATTATCATTTGATGATGTTAAGAATTGTTTAGAATATACTGGAGCTGATGCTGTCATGTCTGCTGGTAATGATTCATAAATAATTAATAGCCAAATATTTGAAATTTACAGGAAGTTTAATATCATATTTGCACATTTTAATATTAAAAATTATATTTTAAGAATGGAAAATAATCGTACAACTATTTATTCTAAGTAAGGATTAAAAATCTCTTCAGTAATGCCTTCTTAGATATACAGGATTACACATTCTAAGACTTGCCATGGTTACATTAAATTGTAAGTTATATTAAACTCTATTGGAATGATATTCATCTAATATACATACTAAATATGATACAGTTTAATTGAGAAATTACATATATTAAAACATTATAAATTAAATAATATCAAAATGTGTTGTATTTAGTATTTTACACAGTGACTACCATTAGAGCAATCTCCTTCGGTGAGAAAAAAAGTCAATTTATAACTGCTAGACTAGTCTTGATTGACATATTGCTTTACACTGGGCCTTGGCTGTTGTGGAATTTGAAATATTCTGGCTAGTGCTGGCTCTGACTTACACTAACCACAATCTGTTGTTGAATCTCTGTTAAAAACTTACTAGGTTCAGAATTTATGCTGTCTGACATGCTGGAGATGAAAATATTTTATTTCAAACAGTGTTGCCAATTCTCTCTTTCAATTATTTGAGTTTGTTAAACAAAAATTTGTTAAATTTGTCCAAAATATGAAATAAAGGAAAAATAAATTAAAAATTCTTACTTTTATGTGGCTGTGTTCGGATGGAGGACTACATGCATTAAAAGTCTGGTGGCTCAAGGTGCCCTCCATAGTGTGAGGAATATACATTCATAGATATGGATTCATCTTTATTTAAATTTTTTAAATAATGCAATGACATTTGGTGGCAACAATTTGAAAAATGATTGGAACACCAAAGTGATATGGGCAAAAAGTGATTTTTAGGGCTAATAGTCTCTGGTGCTTAAAAAAAAGAAAAGAATAGAATAGAACATGCCTTTTTTTCTTTTTCTTGAACTGTGAACAGTTTGAGTTTTTTTCATGCTTATACTTAAAACTATACAACTGTGAGAAAATGTTGTACATTTACTGCATAATGTTGTATTCTGTTTCAAAGAATAACAGAGCAATAAAAGCGTGTATTTTCATCAAAGCATTTGAAACACTGGCCCACACGTATATTTATGCTCATGATCCGAACTTTGCTGGAAAATAACAGCAGCCATATATGGGTTTTGGTACTTCGCCACATAGTATCTTAGTCTCATTTGGTAAGAGTTTAGGAATTATGAAGCATTCATTTTCTTAATTTTCAAAATGTTATTGGACTATAGCAAAGTGAATATTGTTTACGTAGCAGATACAAATGTATGGATGTACTCAGTATATTACCCAGATCCTTGAAACTGAATTCTTTTTAATAATTATTGTTCTGTATTGACATATTCGCTTTTTTTAAGTACAAGAATATTTTAAATATAGTTGATTAAAATTTTACTTTAGCACAATAATAATTCTATAAAAATTTGAGAAAATTTGGTTTACTTGAGAGGTTGTTTAAAAGTGATCAAATATCTATAGATTTATATACAAGTTTCATCTGATGAATATTGTGCAGGACTGTTCAACTTTTTGATTGGATTTGCAGAATATACATGAATATACATAAATAACAGTTTTTTCCCAAAGTGAGTTTGAAATGCCATTTACATTAAATTAGTTTTTTTATTCCAAATAGTTGCTCTTTTCTCTATTTGATTGCTGATAACTGAAAATTGAGTCTCCTTTTGTACTTGAATAAAAGATATATCTTTCTTTGTCTTTTTTGTGATTGATATTTTTTTAAATCTCTTACAAAATAAATAATATATGCTTTCTGTTTCTACACTGAAGAGCCAAAACATTATGAACACCTACTCAATAACATAGTGCACGATCTTTGGCCTGCAAAACAGCTGCAACTTGCCTTGGCATGCATGCCATTGTTCTTGGTAGATGACTGGAGACAAGTGGTACCAAATGTCTAAGCAGTGGTCACACAAAGTTGAGATATTTCCATCATGGTAGCATTAGATCTGTGAGGTGCCGCTTCAATGACATATCACATGTACTCTATCGAGTTAAGATCCGGCGAGTTAGGTGACCAGGACATTAATTGTAATTCATCATTATACTCCTTGAACCACTCCAACACAATTCTTGTGACATAGGGTGTTGTCCAAGTTGGGAAGACAGATGTCATGTAAGGGTGAAACTGATCCGCAGTTATGTTCATATAGTCTGCAGCTTTCATGGTCTGTTCTACAACTGAATGTCCCACAGTCGCCCATGAGAATATCTTCAAAGCATAATACTGCCACCACTAGCCTCTGTATGATCTGCTATACCTGAGGGGAGGAGCTACTGTTCGACTAGAAGAAGGTGTGTCCTGACATGACCATCAATGTGATAATGAGAAGTTATAATGCATTGGAACCAGGCAACTGTCTTCCACTTATTCATTGTTTAGTCTCGATGTTTCGGGGCCCACTATAAGCGCACCTTACAATGACTCTTGGTCAACAGAGGCATATGAGGGGGATGTCTGCTGTGCAGTCTTATATTCAAGGAGTGTCCAATGAACTATGTGTTTTTCAACACTTGCACTTGAACCTGCACTGTATTGGGCTGTCAGCTAAGCCACTGTCTGGTGCGGATTTTGCTGTACCAAGCAAGGCAGTTTCTGACTCCTTTTTCTTTGATGATGCATGGACAATCAACACCTTGCCATCTACTGCTGGTTTTAACATCATTTATCTACTTTTCATAAATGTTAACAATAACAGATCATGAACAACCTACCAGTTGTGCAGTTTCAGAGATAGTCGTTCTGAGTCTGCCTTCTATAAAATTAATATAATAATAGTTACAATCTGATGTCTATAAAATTTGTTTAGAATAATAGTTACAATCTGCCCTCTATAAAATTTGTTTAGATCAGCAGCCTTTACCAGCACTTGCAAAAGTAAGTGCAAGAATGATTCCTTATCTTTGCCAAAGCAGCAGTTAAATACCATCTCACTTAATCATATGCCCTCCACATCATCCAGACAAGTTCATTGAAAAATGTGGGTCATTATGGTTTGGCTGGTCAGTGTGTGTTCTTAATGTACAATTAGCTTTGTTGTATTAAAATTAAGCAAAATTCAACCTGAGATTGACAAGATTTTAAATAAAAGGTTCACATAACTTGAGAGGTATTCTGACATTAGTCCTCATTTATCATACTTATGTATTTAAGATTGAGCTGTATCATATTATCTTTTGAAATTTGTAGAGCTTTTTATGTAAAATAAGTACAAATCTTAGTTTCAATTTTTCTAATTTGATAGCTTAAGTTAGTATGTTCATTCTAAGTCTGTTAATTTTAATGTTGTGCTTTCATTATGATTTGTGTTATTGTACAGAATTTTTGTAAATTAATTATGAAAGAGTAAAAGAATAGAAGAAATTGCAAATATATTTAATATAATTTATTGCAATTTCTGCCTAATATAATTTCTTAATTGCCTGATATAATTTTTGTTGGTATTCTAGAGGGTTTACTTCATAATCCTGCATTATTTACGGGAAAAAATCCACCAGTTTGGGAGATAGTTGATGAATATTTGAAACTTGCTGAAAGGTATAGCACATCAATTAGGTGCGTGCGCTGTCACTTGTTTAAAATATTATATTTATGGTAAGTAAAGTTTTAATATTATTTAATTTCCCTCTTTTCATATAAATATGAATTCATAATATAAAAAAGCAGTGCTATATTATTCTTTGTAGAATAACCTTTTGTGTTATTTGCCAATTAATTAAAAATTTATATTTGTATGCTTTGCAAAACTTAAAAAATACTGAGTTTCTTTGCTCAATTTATTTTTTCATCCTGAAAATATACAAGCTTATAAAATCTGATAGTCAGTAAATTACAAATTTTATTTATGAAAATAACTAATTTTATTTCGTAAATGGATTTTTTTCTCTTTTCTTGTGCATGTGTGCACAATATTTAACGCTATAAGCATTAATACATGTTTTCTTTTTTTATACAAGATTTTTTTTTTTTTTTTTGATAATTACATCTGATGAATAAAATTTTCAGTTAGTTATCAGTTTTAAATTACTAAGACTTCTATAATATGTACAGGTTTTCAAAATAGAAAAAGAATTTCTTGAAAACATTTTGGGTACTTATTTATATGATATATATTACCTATAAATTAATATTTTGAATTCTTCACTCTATTCCTGCCATATTTTAATTAAATGTTTATGCATTTGTATTAATAGTTTTCATCTGTTGTTGTAGAACAGCATTTATAATTGGATTTTTACCTCATTTCAAGAACATATTTTTGATGGATGTAATCTTCATTATGTAATATTGTGTAAGCTTCATTATGTAATAATATAATAGAAAAAAATTAAAAATGCCATTATTGTAATTATTCTATGTCTGATTGTAGTTTTGATTTTATTTGAATGAATAAAGGCCAATGGAAAATATTTTGAAAAGTTTGTTGTATTTTGAAAAGTGCAACAAGCATTTAGTAAAGTAATATTAGGGAAAATACAAGTTGCATTTGTTTATGCTATTCATCTTTTAAAATAATTAAAACTGTATGATAGTAGAAATTATCTTCTTAAAAAAATATTGTTAGAATATGTTGCTGTTACAAAAGCCAGCATAGTAAAAGTATTTATACCTTTACTGGCAGTGTGAATAGGCCTTTTCCTTACTTGGAAAAAAGATATATATTGTTAACATGCAACATAAAATATGTTGATTTAATAAACCATTGCTATCGTAAGTTTTCATCACCACGCACATGGCATGGCTTGGTATTTATTTTTCTCCTATCTATATTTCAGTTACTCATGATCTCATATAGCAAGAAATGTGTGTTTAGTTTGCAGATACTTTCAAAATGAAACAAAATCTGATATTTATAAATTAGTAAATTCCTAGTATTTACATTGTATAAAGCTGTGATTTTTTTTTTTTTTTTTTTTTTTTTTTTTTTTTGTCAATTTCTGGAACTTTAAAATTTTTTCAACTTAATGATTAAATAATAAATTTTCTAGAATAATTTGAAAACTATTTTAAAAATTGGAATATCATAATTATAGTGTAAATGTTGATCAACGTAATTTTGAAGCATTGTGTTTTTGTTTATATGTGCCATTCATAGACTTTTAAAATACTTTCAGCTTGCATCAAGATGACAATGTACGCCAAATATTAGCTGAAGGCTCTTCCTATTCTGATTTCTACAAAGTGTGTAATATATTGAAGAACTTGCCTAGTAAAATATTAAAGGAATATGATGGAGATGGAGATGTGTTTGATTATGATTTGCATAAATTGTCTGACAGTTTATTTACTACACATGAAAACAGATCTGGATTTATTTCAAATTGCAATTCAAAACTGGCCAAAACTGACTGTGATATTTTAAGCAATCATTTCTTTAGTTCTGATGATTCTGATGGCAGTGATTCAGACATTGAAGATAGAGAAAGCTGTTTGTCAGTTGAGAGAACTCTAACTAATGAAATGAAAAAGAAGTGTACTTTAAATTTGCCAGTTTGGATATGTCATTCAAGACCAAGAATTACTGATAATGAGTGAGTAATATAAACCTATCTATGCAATATGTCTATACTTATGCTATCTATGCCTTTCAATCTCCATTTTGTTCATTTATCATGACTTTGCAGGGAGACAAGGGGTTCTTATAGTCACTATTTTAATCTTCCAGAAAAAAAGGACCATACTAATGAAGAACATGGATTATCTGTAAGTCATTAATATTTATTAATCTTAATATTCTTTCATGTTTAACAAACATAATTGCTAATTTTCATCAAAGCTAACATAAAGCACAATTGTAGTTTCCATGGTATTATTTTAAAATCTGCATCATCTCAATCTGCAGATATTAAGACAAAATTATATACCTAATTTATTTAACTTCACACCTCACTAAGCAAGAATAATTAATTCTTCATAAGACAAATTATGATCTATTAACAAATTATGATCTATTACTATTTTATAAAATTATTAATTTAAAGAGGGGGAAAAAAGAAAGAAAAGGAAATTTCCTCTTCCTTTTTTCTTTCTTTCTCTTTCCCTTTTTTTAGTAAGGAGGAAATAATGCATTTAGGAAGAAAGGCAAAAGAAAAGGAAAAAAGAGGAATTTTTCTTTTCTGTTGTCTTTTTTTAACTTGCCTTTTTCTTTGAAGAAAGGAGAAACTTCTGCATTTGCTAATAAGCATTATATGTTAGCTGGTATTTGTTTAATATGTGGTAGTTTTAGATTATAGTAAATTATTTTCTGTACTATAATTAGGAATGTAAATGTTAATATATAATATTTTAGAAAAAAAAATTGAGGAAACTTAGACGCCATGAACGAGTTCTTGCAGCTATGAAGGAAAAAAGGAAAATTCAGAAATTGCGTAGGAAACTGAAAATTGCAGAGTTAAAACAGAATCAAGTTCCAGAAACTAATGGTATTTTTTTATTCATTTTGGGAAATTTTAAATATGTATAAAAGTTTTATGTATTTTCAACATAATGATAAAATCTGGAAATGATACAGTAATTAGTATTTAAAGAATTACAAGAAAATATACATTTTAGTTTTTTTAAAATATAAAAACCTTGTTTTTATTCTTTTTGCAATATTATTGGTACCAAAATTTTAATTTTTTGAAATTGATATATTTAATCAGTATCAGTTTTATTATTTAAAACCGATTAATTATTTTATTTACAATATCTATTGTACTAAACAGTGTAAGCTATAGAGTTACTGAAGAATTCCTGATACATATTTGCAACAAATAGGGCTAGTTCATTCTTGGAGTTACTAGCATCATTCACATCTATATTATTGCTTTGCTATTTAAAAAATGATCGTTTTAATTTTATTCTTAAAAAAACTGAGAGATTTACTTGAGTTTGAGGGATTTTTCAATGAGTTGAAGATGAAAGACCGTACTGTGCATTTTTGCCATTTTTACATTTTACTTTAGTAAAGGAAGAAATGTGCATCAATGTTTTGAAAAGTTATGTGAAGTTTACAGTGACAATGCTGTGCAAGAGCATCAGTGCCAATGGTTATGTGTAAAATTCCATGCTGGTGATTTTTTATCTCAAAGGTGTCAGGGAAGGCAATTAAGATCTATAATGTCAAATTAAAAGTATTGTTTGAGTCACACATGTTACATGAGAGACTGTAGAAACATTGAGCATCCAACATTCATATGTGAAAAATTATGTGGAAAAGATATATAAGCACGTTCACTATTTGGGTTCCTTATGAGCTCAAAGAAATCAATTCGATGACAGATGTAAAAATTTGTTATATGCTTATTAACTATTGGGAAAAGTTATCCTTTCCTGAAGTAACTGTTAACTGGCAGTGCTAAATGGAATGTTTACAGTAATGTGTATACAAGTGATTTGAATTCTGATGCAATACTTCACCTCAAATGATATTAAAAACTGACATTAAGCAGAGGAAGATTACGTCCTTAGTTTGATGTGCTTCTTAAAACTTCATGTTTTTGAGCTCTTACCAAGGGAACAAAGAAGAAATTTCAATGGATAGTTTGAATGAATCCGTAATCTGCAGATATTCAGAGTTTGTTAATCATATAGGAGATGCATTCCCTCTATGACAACTGAGAAAAAATGCAAGTTTTTATCAACAGTCAAAATTTCTTAAAACTTGAGTATGATATGTTGCCACACATTCCATACTTGCCTGATCTTGTACCACTTATTCCTGGTCTTTAAAATTCCTTGCATGATATAACATTCAATCCAATAACATTGTTCAATTTTTTTTCTATGAATGAGGAATTATGAAGCTTACTGAATGATGACAAAATGTTATCAAATATAATGCGCATCATATCATTCATTGTTCTTTTTTTATATAAATAAATTACTTTTGAAAAATATGTCATGAATTTTCTGATACACTCAGTTCGGTGAAGAAGTCACAACCAGTCATACACATTCAGAGGGGATATGTTTCCCCCTGAATCTTTTATAAAATTTATAATATTTTAATTTTTTGATCTCATTTTATTTTAACTGTTATTTAAAAATTTTAAAGATATTTAGTATAGTTTGATATTGATTTGTTTTTAATATATTCATTTTATAGTTTGTTTTTTCCTTTAATTTTTTAATATATTCATTTTGTAGTTTTGATTTTCCTGTAATTTTTTAATATATTCATTTTATATTTTTATTTTTTTGTCAGTTTGTCATATCTAAAAACAAATGTTGAGACTGCCATATCTAAAAAATATATGAAAACATACATATTTTATAATGAAAACTTGTCCCAGTTCGATCATATTAACTCTATCTTTTTATTTTTATTTTTTAAACTTTGTATGTATAGGTTCTAAAGATTTCTAAGAATTAATCAAATTTTGAGTTGAGTACTTCAAAGTAAATAAATAATTAAATGAATTTTAAAGTATGATATTATATAACAGGGATGAACTTCAAGAAATGGGAGCCACATGATAGATTTTATGGTTGTTTGAGAGCTGCAAGTCCAAATTTATATCATTTAAAAAATAATGAGACAGATTTTGAATACAGTCAAAAGTCGTTAATTCAGACACCCATAATCCGAAATGATCTATAATCCGGACCTCAAAGCTACAAAGTTTCTGCGCATGCGTTGCGTTGACGTCGCATAGGCGTTTACGCGTGAGCGTAAGAGCTTTACGGCTGCGAATATGTGTGTGCGCATATGCAAAATACGTTTACGCATGCGCGTTTAATGTATAACGGACGGTATAAGCTAAGCTAAAATTATCTAATTCAGTTAATGTTACAGATTGCGTTGTCCTTAATCTTCGAATTGGATCTGCCTTATTATTTTTTGCAGACCGTTAGAGCAATTTTATAAAAGTAAGCTTGATATATTTACTAATATGTAAAGGATCTACAAAGCGAAAGTATGTTTCGAAATTTGTTTATCAATTTCACGCTTCTCTGCGGGGGTGGGTGGGTGGAGGAATGCCGCGGCGCAGTGAATTGGAAGTTGATCTGTCAGCACTATCCTTATCTTCAGATGTTTTTATTTTATTTGGCTTATAATTCCTTACTAAATGTAGTATTTCATCTCGATGTACTCCGTCTTTTATATGATTTAAATCAAGTTCCTCATCATTATAACTCACTTCCGATAGTGAAGAAAGTGACACAGAGGTTATTGAAAACGAAAAAATTTCGATTGACAAATTAGTCGGTATTCTCGACACAGCAATTATAGGACTTGAACAGCGGAACTTTGTAACTAAACAAGAAATTATGTCTGTTTAGTAGAAATAAAGAGAAAGTATTATCACATGAAACGAAGCAACTTAAACAACTTACATTGAAAGAAATGTTTAATAAAATAAACAAATAAATATTAAGCTTTTTTTTTGTAAATTTTGATACCCTTTAGATCATAATTGCTCTTTTTTTCATAAATTACGTTTTCATATTATTAATTGTATAATTTCTGCATGCCATCTTACCATATTTAAACTGATGATCTATAATCCAGAAAAATCGATAATCCAGAATTGCCAAAGTCCCGATGAGTCCGGATTAACGACTTTTGACTGTATAAAGAAATGTTTGAAGTAAATTAATGAATATGTGATTAACATGATTGCATATAAATATGAATGAATGCATACTATATGTACTGTTTTGTGTTCATGATGTTAAGTAAATAAATAAGAAAATAAAATTTTGTAACATTTGTACTGGGCAACGGAGTGTTTTTTCTTCAGGTAGAGAAACCAAATATTTTCTTCTGATTTCCTTTATACCTCTTTGTTTATAATTATTGTTGCTTTATTTTAGTAGAAGTAAAATGAATCAGAATCATATTCATTGGTTTACAATTACATAAAAAATGTTACTTGAGTAAATTACAAATCATTATTTAAAAGAAAATTGGTTTTTTTTTTTTTTTTTTTTTTTTTTTTTTTTTTTTTTTTTTTTTTTAACTCATGAGCAGGCTTTTAGAAAGAATAAACTAAGTAATACACGCCAACGTGCCCTGCAGAGAAACTGTTATTTGAGAAAGAATATTTATTTAAAAATAAGCTATCAACTTGTTTAGGCGTTTGCTTAAGAAAAAATTTTGTTTCTCCATACAATTAATATAAGGACCAACACACTGAGATCATTCAGATCGTTGGATCCTAATGTAAGGAACAGTTAAACATTTTCTCCCAAAACTTTTTTTACTACTTTGCTACCTTTGCTAATGCTACCTTTGCTAATGCCCAGTATAGAAGAATTCACAAAGAGGGAAAAAAAATTGCAATTTCAGTGGTGTTTGAATAATCAGTATCTCTCATGACATCCCTGATTGATACAGTATTTCAGCGTGGCATCTAACGGAATCTGCCAAAAATTTTTAGTAATCCGTACACAGCGCATCATTGAAAATTTTTGAAACTATCTCTTGAATTATACCGATAATTTTGAACATAGATAACAAAGTTCATGTGCATCATTGAAAATTCTTGAAACCACCTCTTGAATCGTTATGCAATTCTGGAAATACATAACCTATTTATTGCTAATAAATCTAGTAGTTCATGCCAGGCTATATAAAGGCTATGTCAAGCACATATTCCATCTGCCTACCAGCCAAACTCTTCAACCTAGCTGTTTAATTTTGAGCTGTTTTTCAGATACATGGCAAATCAAAACTAATGTTACAGAAAGAAAACATACCTGTCACTACTATAATGAATTTATTTTGCAAACTCGGACGTACCATGAACACTTCACATTTCAATGGACATGCACAGATGTTCGATATGAAGGCCTTTCGTAACATGGCAGACATCTGCCCAATAGTTTAGTTCCTAAGCTCTTGCCAATGAGATGTACAGATCCATCATGTTGACTGTTGGACCCATAAAGGCGGTCAAATGTCTTGCCATTTCGTCTTGAATTTCTAAGTAAAATAACTCGAACAAAGTTTAAAATAAATTATTGTCAGCATAACTGTTACATAGTACAACTTTCCATTAGGTTACCTAACCTGGGTACAGAGAATAAATTTAAAATAGAGTTTGAAATGGAGTCTGTAGGCAAAGGATACTTTAGAAGATAAAAGATCAGATTATAAGGTATTTTCTCCTCCTTTGTGCGGACCTTCGTGGTATAACAGTTGACACACTCGTCACGTATTTGAGAAGTCCAGGTTCGAGTCTCGGTGAGGGCATTTCTCATTTTTCACATTTCCTGCATCAAAAATTCTAATGTGCTTACAGTGGCACCCAAACTAAAAAGGTGGTGGATGATGTTTCTTCACCACCAGTATTTGACGATTGGGTCCCCTAAGCCCCAGTCACCCTTTAAAAGGGGCGAGTATATAAGGTATTTTCTCCTTCCTTTCTGCATGTTTTCATGATTTAACGATAGCACATTCGGCGCATGTTCGAGAGGTCCAGGTTCGAGTCCCGGCGAGGGCAGTGCACATTTTTAATATCTTCTGCTTCCAAAAAGTCCTAATTACTCTTATAAGACTTTAAAAATAAACTTTTATGGGAGCAAAATTTCACATTATTGCCTGAAATTTGTAGTGATCAAGCAGTGGGTCATTGTTTAATTTTTCATTTGGCTACTAAGCTTTCATGAAAGATGTGTCAGACATACATGATGACTGAAAATATCAACAGATTATAAGAAGTGTAATGCTGACATCAGAGCCGGGGCAGCCAATGTAGCTGCAGAGTGGCAGTATTAAGGGGTGACAAATTTTAGATATGCCGAGCAGCAAAATGTCTGTAATCTAGTGCAAGGTAGAAAGAAAGTCATCAAACAAGAAATCAAATATGAGAAAATATCACAAGCTAAAGAGATTTCACCAATATTATTATGCCGATTTTGACAGAAACTGTGGAGAAGAGAGACGTTAATGTTCTGTTGATCGCTCATTGCTTGATGCAACGTTATTGATATGAAGATCTGATACTTTAGGTGAAAGATCTCTATCTTTAATAACAATATTTAATAAAATGAGAGTTAAACATTTTTAGTAAAATTTAAATCTTTGCCAAACCAGTGATTCTTCCCACGACTCCAAATATTTTAGCATACACAACCATTGGTGAAATAAATTATGATCTCTGTCTAGGATTACCATGGTAATATTATGAAAGATAGTTTCATGTAGGAAAACTGTTTACATTTAACCATATTATTGTGAATAGTTGCAAAATTTGTGAAGCCATTACATAAAAATGCCGGACTTGTTTAGAGATAGGAAATTAATTTTGAAGGAGATCCGTAGAAAACTGAGAGAAGTCTCCTAACCATGTAAGAGGCTGAAGGTTCACTCTACCAAAAATAAAATCCTCATAAAAGTCTTCTACAGGTTAAATGAGCCCTATATGAATTACAAAGATAAAACAGGTTTCTTCAGCAGTTATTCATGCCGTTCAAGGACTCAATAAACGTATACAATGAATAACAAATCTTCCAGGTGGATTACAACTGTTGTGAACAATAGGATTACACATGAATGTAAGCAGATACTGCCTGAAGTAAAATTAACTTGAGGAAAAAATAATTAGGGAGAATAATTAAATAAATATATTAGCATTGCAATTTAGATTAACGTCATAATAATGTATTCTGATGACCATTACCTGTTAAAAAAGTAACATAACCAGAATAGTAATTATTAAAAGTGGAGTTATTTGTAATTTTACTTATTTGCTACTCTGACTATAAGCCAGTAGTGGACAATTTAAAATCTATCAAATTTTTACCTACATAATATTAGAGATTAAATTAGCGATTAACAAAGAAATGTGGCGCTGCATGATTTCTATTTCAGATTCCATTTGTATTAAAAAACTTAAAATATATTTATTCAAAACAAGTCACATTTCAGATGGGAAAGGATTACGAGTAGCTCACGAACTGCAAATAAGGTGTTGGAGAGCCGCAGTTTGGCAATGCCTGTTATATAATTACTCCTTATTCTGCTATTTCTAAAACAAAGATCATGTTATAAATGTGATAAATAATAAAGGTTTTCCTTAGAATTGCAAAGTATTCGGTAATTCATGCAGTATGTAACCTATTGTGTTTAGTTATTTAAAATTTATATTTTAGAAGGCATCACTAAAATGCTATTTTTAAATTCAAACATGTGATAAAATGATGAAGAAAAGAAAAAATTAAAACAGCCAATTTTAGTATACCATTTAAAAAATAAATAAAAGCAGTAGATTACAATTTGTACATGATTACCAAACATTCTTTTATCACGTTTTGATGGAATGAAATCACAATTATAAATTTTAGATTTATTAATACTTTTTCCATATTTAAACCTTTTATAAATGTGTATAATAGTGATATTATACAGTGTGTATAATAGTGTAATGATAGTAATAACAAATCAACTTGCTATAATACAGCATTGCTCAAAATACAGGCTTTGAGCACCATATCTTGATAAAAATAGAGTGATTTAAGGAATGTAAGGGAATTTTATTGTGTTATGCAGCTTTTTTATCATCTAGTCCATTCAATTAAAATAAAATTTTACTGTAGAATAATCAGTACTTATTGCAGGGCTAGATTAAGATTTTTAGAGGCCTTAAGCACTTAAAGTGTTTTGATGCTCCACATAAATTGATTTGATGCTCCACATAAATTTATGTTTATTTTTTCCCCATATCTTCCCTCTCAGTTTTGGTTCACCTGTGCCATATATTCCATGGTCGAATCAGCAGTGGGAAATTTTTGCAGTGGCCCTTTTCCTTATATATTACGCCGCCTAAGCAATGCTTATTTTGCTTTAGGATTCATCCAGATCTGTCATATTGGTATCTCTGCTCACATTTTCTCGATAACAGTTTTTGTTTTTCCTCTAAGAAACAACATCAGAAGCAAGTACCAAAGATGAAAATAAACTACAGTGTCAACTCAGAAAACCTGAATTTACTTTAGAAGTATTGTATGCTTTACAAACATAAAATATACATACAACAAAAATATTCAAAATGTTTTGGTTTGCCTGCACCATATACAAGTAATTTAAAAGTATTGTGTGCTCTACAAATGTAAAATATATGTACAATAAAAGGACAAAACTTACGTTTTTGCTGTTGTATGATGTTGTCAGAATGAGAAAAACCATGCTGTAAGATTATTATCTAAAGAATAGATTATGCAGGTAGTATTTGTTGCAAAACAAGCAATGGTTGAAAACAGAACTTTAATAACTACTTTGATGAAGGTAATTCCAAATAATGTGTCCCAGAACTCAATAATATTAATGAAAAGTAGGAAAATATATTTTATTCAATAATTGGTGAAATACTAAATTATGCTAAAATGTCACTGGAAATGTTTTGTGGCCAAAAAATTATCACCGAAAATTGTGAGTTGGGATAATGAATAAGTATTAAATAATCTGATGGTTGATCTGTATTCACTGTGCATTTAGCCATAAAGACCTTAAGAAATCATGCAAATCTGCAGTGATAGTACATTTGTAGCTAAATTTGGGGCAATTCATTATTAATATATAAAAGATTAGCCAATGTACAAGTACTAAGATTATAGAACTTGTAATACACTGGTTATCATAAATTAAGGAAAAATCACAAAAATCACGATTACTGAAAAAGTTACATGTAGAATTTAATGAAACTTACCAACAATATACAACATATAGTAAGGTATCAAATAACATAAAAAAAAAAAAAAAATTACCAGACAAATTTGGTAGTATAAAAATTAGCACATGTATAAAATGAACAAATCAAAGGTGTCAGTTTGCTATAGGAAAAGTACCTTCAATATGGAATATGATTGCCTCTAGAAGCAATACAGCACATACAGCGAAGTGTGATGCTTTCAATTATGCGGTCTATCAGTTTTATAGGAAGCGAGAGCCATTGCTCTTGCAAAGCGGTTGCAAGCACGTCAAGGGTCTGAGGGGGCAGATTGAGAGCAGCAAGACATCTCCCTAAAGCATCCCAAACGTGCTCGATAGGATTCAAGTCCGGGGATCGAGCTGGCCACTCCATGCCCATAATTGTTTTCTGTTAAAGATAATTATCTACGATGTAATCCCTGTGTGGTCTTGCGTTTTCGTCCTGTAACAAGAAAGCATCACGTATTGCCCTGGCATAAGGGTGCACATTAACATCAAGGATGTCATCTCTGCAAACTTGAGCATTCACGGTTCCCCTTGGAAAGACATGGAGGTCTGTGCGTCCACCCAAAGAGATGCCACCCCAAACACAGACACTGCCCCTTCCGTATGCATCTCTTTCACGGATGATAAAGGGTTCTAGGTTCTCTCCATATCAAATAACGCATACTATTGCTTTATAGACTAAACCTGGACTCATCTGTAAAGAGAACAGCCCTCCACTGATCAGGCGTCCAGTGGACATGTTGTCGTGCCTACTGCAACGGTCCCTCCTATGGCGTGACGTGAGCGGCACGCAAATGGCTGGTCGCCTCGCATACAGACCACCTTCGTGAAGCCTTCTACGCACAGTTGACGTTGACACCAAACTTCCGGTGGCTGCAGCAAGGGAGGATCTAAGAAGAGTCGGAGTAGCGGTTCTATTCCTGAGTGCACATAATGTCAAATATCGGTCATCGGCGCTCGTCGTAGCAGTTGGCCGTCCTTGGCTGAACCTCCTAGGTGCCGAATCTGTGATTTGAAATTGTCTTAATGAACCACAGAAGGACTCACATTTAGCCATCTGGCCACTTCTGTTTGACTTTATCCTGCCTCTATTCTCCCAATGGCGTTCTATCGTAGTTCTTCAGGCAAATGATGCCTGGAGGTCATTGTTATGAATTAGCTATCTCAAATTTCTGATGTCACTGTCACAGTGCAATATGTGGGCTTGCTCTCAAACACGGACTTTTATGCTCCTCGCAGAAGATATATTCCGAAAGCAGCGCCACTAATTTGCATATCGCAGTTTTACTCAGCTACTCTTACTTGGCAACATATTCAAATTTTACACGGTTTGGCTTATTTTTGAGGGAGTTATCGCTATTTTTGTGATTTTTCCTTAATTTATGATAACCAGTGTACATTATTAAAATTAAATAAAATTTAAGATGTAGGAAATTCCAAAATAAATTGCAGAGTCATTTTATTACAGTTTTCTACAAAAGAAAAAAAAGTATTGTGCTAGCTTATTATTTGTTCACTTTTCAGTAATTTTTTTTTTTTTTTTTCCCTCTAAAGATGTACCAAAGGAAAAAGTGACAAAAAAGCAGCAAAAATTATTAATTAAGGAGCGTTTATTGAAAGCTCAAGGTTCTTCTCCTAAAGTGTGTATTAACTTAGGTTTTGCCTCAGAAATGGAAAAAAAGGTTAGTTAAACTACTAATTTTAATTTTATAATAATGTATTGAAAGCTGATTAGCTTTATTTCACTATTAATTATTGGTTTTGTCTCAAGTCAAATTTGTAGCAGCAGCAAATTATTATGTTGATATACTTCCAAGAAAACCATGTACACTGCACCCTCCCGCAAAAAAAGGGGGGGATAGTTCTATATCTCCTGTTCTACTGGGCCTATTGACGAAGTTCAGATTGCATTCTTCATGTCTCGAAAGTGCAACTTAGGATATATTTAGATTTATATATAGCACTGTTCTAATATTTAGATTTATATATAGCACTGTTCTTATATAGGTATTTTTACACAAAATCAGACATTTTCTGAAATAACATACCAATGTTTTTCCATATTTCGATTCTACGACTCAAATTATGACTCAATCTGAAATTTTGTAAAAATTTGGTGTGAAATTTACAGAGAAATTCACAAATTTATGTTGGTTCTTTTTTCAGTTTGCACCAAGAATAGTTCACTTGATGAACTTTTTAATATATGGCAACCTATTTTTCTTTCCCTTTTTACATCGTGCATGAGCGGAAAAAAGTTGCATCATTCCTGTTTTCAAATAATGTTTTTTATATTACATTTTTAATTATAATTGTTATTATTTTAAGTACTTTTTTCCTTTTTGAATTTCATTTTAATTATTTAAGTTGTATGGTGTCTTTTCTAATAACTGTTCTAAAAATTTCTATTTACCCATTCAAACTGTGTAGTTTAAATAAATGGTGCATCAATAATTTTTTTTCAAATAATTTTTTTATACTATATTTTTTGGTATAGTTATTATTTTAGGTAAATTTTAAATTTTTAGACTTTTATTTTAATTGTTTGTGTTGCATTGTCTCTTCAGATAATTGTTTTAAAATTTTCTATTTATTAAATATATTTATTAATATAAATTTTCCAGAATTTGATTTTATTTATTTGAACTGCATTTCTTTTGGAAGAATACTTTGTAACCCAGACTACGATGCATTTGCAAACTGCATATATTAAAAGAGAAAATACAGTAAAGCACAGTTAACACGCCTTTTAGTGTTCCATTCAGAAAAGATATATTAAATGAGAAAGATATATAACCCAGATTTTAACTTAGGATGGCTTGCATATATTGCTTTAAATAGCTTTATCATTGTGCTCATTGCTTTACACAATTTTATTATCCTACATTTAGTTTCTTAAAATGTTATTCATATTTTAGTCAAATATTTTATTTTTGAAATTTCAAGAATCAATTATCATAAGATTAAAAAAAGGTTTTAAATTAAAAAAATACTAAATTTTATGCAATAATTTATTTTTTCCCTTCTTAATGACTTGCTCTTTTTCTTCAGGCATTCTCCAAGTATATTAAAAAGCATCCCACTTTTCGAAACATCTTGGTATTTCTGACATTCATTTTAAATAAAGTTATCGCCTTGCATTTTATAAAGACCCACAAACGGCTGAGCAGTAAAGTCGCTGAATACTGGTAGTTCGCTCAACAGCTCAAATAACAGTGAATGGGCTGGTTGCATGAGCACTTTCGGGGTTTCCCTCATGTGTAACGTGTATGCCAGCTGTTTTCCTTTAGAAAGTTCTTCACGAAGGCATCTCTGCTTTTAGGCAGATAGCCCTGCTTTCCTGTAACATAATAATCCAATTCAATCCATTTCATCAGTATTTGGTCAGAGCCTTCATCAGCCTTTAGAGGTTAAGCATTTTGAAGGCATGAGATGAAAGGAAAGACTGGTTTCATCAAGTGGGAAAACGTCTTTAGACAACATCCACATACATCACTGAATAAATTCCTGAATCTTCAATAATTCAACTAAGAAATCATGGGATTCTCCGTTTATATGATATGATGTTCTTTAACTTAATTTAAATTTATATGTATAACCATATAGTCAAAAACCAGTCGCTCTTCACTTTAATCTGCAATGATATCGTTTTTGTCTTTTCCGTTAGCACAAGCTCAATTGACGGTATTTGCTGGTGTACACATCCAAGTGTTTTCTCTTTGAACATTGAAATTCCTTGAAGTATTCTGAAAGTATATTCAAAAGCATCCAACTTTTTGGAATACCTTACAGCCAAATTCTCTTCAAATTTTTCCTTACTTTTCTCCCAAATTTTCTTCTTTCCTTTTACATTTATTTTCACAAGACTACTAAGATCTTTCGATTGTTACACTTCCATAAATTTTGCATTCTTGTCAAATTTTTTAAAATATTAATTATATCAGTTGCGTTTCAGCTGAAGACAGCTTTTTATTTGCTAGGCATTTTAAGTATAAATAAAGTTTAAAGCAAAGTCCAAAGGATAAATATTTTAATTAAAAAATTTTGTGCTAAATGACAACAAATAAAACAGTCTAGCAGTGTTTATTCTGTACCACTGAGTAACCCGATTATTATATTGGCTGGAAACAATCTAAATCATATGAAAGATCATGTTTTTTATACAATCTATAACATGAGAGAAAATTAGCTAAAACATTCTTTCTAAGAAGATTAATGTAAAAATTTATATTTATATATATATATTTTCTAAAGCTAGGACATGACCCAAATTGTCAACATCTTGTTTGCTTAAAAACACTGTGAAAATAAACATCAAAAGAACTTTCTCAGTTTTAGACAATTCAGTTTAAATGCAGTTAAAGTAAAATAGCAGACGATAACACGGCGAAGGTAAAAATTTACTCTTACAAATACTTTTTAAAAAAAAGGAAGAAAGAAATTTAAAAAAAAGCTAAAAATTCGAATAATACCATCTATAATTAAAAAAAATAGCTTTTCATATAGTATTAATAAATATTTATTACGCATCATTGAGGGAAAAAATTTCATATAATTAATTCTCCGTAAAAATTATTTGAAATTTAAGGTTAAAAATAGCTGCGGCAATTCACTGTAACAAAAATCCATAAACCACATTTGGCATTATTATTGGAAAAAAAAAAAAAAAGATGCTGAATTTCAGAACTTGAAAATATGTAAATTCGTGTATATCTTAGAAATTTTAAATAAAAACTAATTTTATGCAGGTATGCTTAGCTTTTGCAGGTACACCTACTTTAAGATGATGGTAAAAATTTTATAGGTTATAATTAAAATTTTTTTTCGAAAAATTTATAGAAATTATTTAAAAATAAAACACAAAAAATGGGTGAATATTATTTGGAATGAACCTAAATTTTGAAATGTGAAAGGAAAAATAATAAAAGTTTAATAAAAAAAAGCGATGTTAATAAATATATGCCAAATTCAATTAACATTGAGCAGCTAAAATTTTGAGAGTTAATTTTTTAAAAACTGCTCGCACGATTTTTACAAAACTTGGCAGTCTGGCATAATTTGAGTCATAGAATTGAAATATTGAAAAAAATTGGTATGTTATTTCATAAAAAGTCCGATTTTGTGTCAAAATACCTATGTTAGAACGGTGTTATATATAAATCTAATATATATTCTAAGTTGGGCTTTCGAGACACAAAAAATGCTTTAACCACATTGTACACTGTCAGGTAATATTTTAGTTGGCTCCTATTGATTGCAATGTTACTTTAATGAGGTCTGAGCGCTTCGTAGTGGGGTGCAGAAGCATTTGACTGAGAAGAGTTTATATTTGCATCACTAGAAATATTTATTTATTGTTTGGTTACAGTACCTCCTGAAGTAATTTAAAATGAGGCAGAACAGCAACCTTAATTTGGGATAGGTTTTGGATAAATTCTGTCAATTTGGGGGGAAATCAAACACAGTCCCTTCTATTCAGGAAGGGGAGAGGTGGTAGAAAAAGAGATATAGCTGAATTTAATCACTCATTATATATGAAGTAGATTTATAAATCTTGCATTATTTATGATGAACTGAATTAATTTAAATGGAATAATAATAGTCTAAGAGTTAAGTTTCTGATTATGAATATTATATAAAACTTCAGTATTTTTACCATAAACGTGAAGTTATTTGACTAAAGGGATGATGTATATGTAGCTCTTATTTGTGTGTAATAAATTTTTGATAAAAATGTTATATTACAGGAACTGAATCGCTTATCTTCTCAGCTTCGTCGACTGTATGGCTCTAATAGGCACAGCAGTTCACCTCTTCATCTGATTTTTTGTAGTTTTAGTTCATCTGATGAACTTTATCAGATATGTCAACGTAAAAATGATGGATTTTCTTCTTATGTGGTAAAATCAAAAATAATTTGGTAGATATTATATTATAATATTATACTTTCTAATGTTTTTTTTTCAAAATATATGTATTTGTACTTCTAAAATAAGCAACAAATACTAAAAGAAAAGGTATAAATGTAAAAAAGAAATTAAAACATACAACATACAATTTACATATGAAGTTGAGGTTGCATCATCAAATGCGAATAGGAAACCAAAATTAGCATAAAACAGTCACACCACAACACCTTAAAAAGAGGCATTTTAGACCTATGCGTCAGTTTGTAAGCAGCTATAGTTCCATGTAATCTGAGAAAGCAAAAGTGGAAAGCATAAATCAAAGATACCATCTGTACAGTGAAATGCGTTGGAGGGCTGTTGGAGGATGATGCAACTAGTGCAAGACAATCCACTATCGTGAGAGAACTGAATTTGCATTGTAGGTGCTATCAATAGGCTGTGGAATCATTACCAAAGGGATCAAAAACCCATGCAAGAGATGTGGGTCTAGATGCTGGAGGATTAACTTAATGTCCGACAATTGCTTCCTTTTGCTATGTGCAAAATGGCATACATCACTAACAAGATGACAGCTGGCATCACATCCCTCTGCTGCTGCACGATGGGCCATATCCCACCGAATTGTGTCGCATTGATTGCATGAAGCTGGACTGTATGCCCAATGACCTATGCTTTGTGTTGCTTTATCCCCATTGCATGTCCGAGTGTGGTTGAATGGGACCTGTTAACATTGCAGTTAGACACCAAAACAGTGAGACCATGTACTCTTTAAGGATGAGTCTTGATTTAACTTCAGAATGATTTTCGAAGGGCAATGATATGGCAAGAGCCAAGGACATTCTGTCAGGCACCATTGTCAAAAGAGACCATTACAGAGGAGAAGGCTTACTTGTAGGAGCTGGGATAGCAACAAATAGTCCACCGACATCTACATCATTCCTGGTGGTTCCATCACAGCTGTCTGACAGTAAGATGAAATTCTACATCCTCTTGTGCATCCTTTTATCACTTCAATGGATACCAACACAATATTTATGGACGATAATGCTCAACCCCATAAAGCTTGAGTGGTGTGGAATTAACTAGAGAGAGAAATTATTCCACATCTGCTATGGACTGCTAGATCACAAGACCTGAATCCCATAGAGTATGTATGTTGCATGTTGGGACCATAGATAACAGGTTACAATGTGTTGCCAGGGGCCCTCCAAGACTCCGACATGCATTATTACAGGAATGGGCATTTCTCCACAACAAGTGATCAATGACAGTATTGCCAGCTTGCCCCGCAGTTGTGAAACATGCATTTCAGATAGAGGGTATCATACCCATTATTAGCATGATGTTTCCATTGTATATTCTTATGACACATTTGGTCTTTTGCAATGTGATGGTTGTAATACATGTGTTCTTTTATGTCTTTGCTTTATTGTTTACTATGTAGTCTTGTAATGCCACACCAACCTCTTGTATCAATTTCACGCATATCCATTAAATAGTTTTTATTTTATTCTATATTTTACCTCTGTTGCTTATTTTTTGAGTAGGCGTGTATTTCCATATATTTAAAAATATTTATGTATATTTTCTAAGAAAAACAGTTTATTTTGCATAAAAAGTTTTTTAATCTAATGAAAGAAGCTGATAAATTACTTAATATTTTATTAGCCCAGAGGGGCAAATTGTACAGAATGGCTATTAATTTTGTTTTGACACTTTGTGTTGATTCCTTATAAACAGTGAAACACTTTTTAAATTGTTGGCACTAAATATTAGAGTCCTGTATTATATTTAAAAAATTAAATAAATGAAGAATCTGCATAAATGTATGTATGTTTCTCACGTTGTGATAAAACAATGGTACCTAGAACCATCAAATTTTAAATAATGTATGTCTCCACCCGAATATGGGCATCTAGAAGCCTAAATTTGGAATTTGTTTCATTATCTATTTCAAATTTTGTAAAGCATTTATGCGCTTTTGATTAAGAAACTCAACGATTTCAAAGCGAGCAATGGCAACATTGTACAGAGGGGGGGGGGATTTATCTCCAGCTTGTGAGATTGTGTATCGGAAATTTTAAAGATATGTTCTTTTAACTATTTTGTGATATTGCTGTTGAGTTGAATTTTATGGTTTAAGTGCAAAGACCATGATATTTAATAAATAAAGATAACACACAAAACATTAAAAAAAATGGCCCTTTGGGCATAAAGCTTCAGACTTTTTAATTTGCCTTTTTTTTTTTTTTTTTTTAAATGTTTCTTTGCTTTTGCATTACTTGAATCTCATTATTTTGTACTGAAATTTCATTGACAAAGAATGACCAGAGTGCTTTAACTGAAAAACAAATCAGTACAATGCTTATATTATTTTAAGTGAGATTACAATTTGTTTACATTATTTGAAATTGTGTGTAGCATGATCATATCAATCAATTAATGTTTTTTCTTTTATCTTTTTTTTGCTAATCCTTAACTATTAAATATGCCTTGAACATGATTTCTGTCTTATGCATTTTATTCTTTTCCAGTTGAAATTTCATAAATTTTATATTGAAATTAATTTTTGTTGAAGTATCCATTCAAAATTTCAGGTTTCTCAATGTCATTTCTCTGTGAAAATTTTTTTAAACTTTTATCTTTTATTCTTTATGAAAATATAATATTAACTTCTTTAAATCATAAAGCTTATGGGCTGAAATTTTAAAACTAAGCAAAATTCATGCCGGGCTTGGCCTTAACTTTAAAAAAGAGTATATACATTCATAAGCAGATATGTATTCTGTAAATTAGAAATTAATTAGCCTGATTATATTATTTTAAATTTCGATTTACATTTTTAAAAAATTTGAAAGTTTACTGGTGTACTTGGAATCTTGAGGTTTTAAATAGAATGTTATTTTTTGTATGCTTTCAGATGAAGTCAATTTCTTATTCAGTTAAATATTTTCTGTTGCATATGAAAATAAAATTATTTCAGCATGTTTATTACAAATTTATTTAAGCAATGTAACTTTTAATTTGGATTAAATCAAAGTTTCATACCTTGATATGACTGAATGAAAAACATGCTTAGTTTTGACTAATTATTATTATGAATTTGGTAAAGCATTATTATTATAAAGAAACCATTTTTGTAGAACATAAGTAGTTAGGTCTCTATTAAAGCTGATATTCTTTAGAATCTATTTGAAAATTTAAATGTGTAATTTTAAAATTTCAAATTAAGTAATTTTTTCTAAGGTTGAGATGTCAGAGAAAGCACCAGAAGAACTGTATGAAATAGAAGATTTAATTTATCTATCTCCTGATGCTGAAGATGTTTTGACCACATTAGACAGCAGTAAAGTGTATGTAATTGGAGGAATAGTTGATGGCACTGTCAAAAAGGTATAAAAGTTTCTTTTTTTTTTATTTTGAAAGCTTTGAATTTCTTATCTAACAGTTATACATAAATACAATAGTATTAGTGAGGACTTTTAGAATGTGTGATTTAGAGAAAAAAAATAGTTCACAGTTAGTTAGTAGCAATATTTCTTACAGTTTAACCAGTAATAGTGTTCCTTTGTATTGCGTCAGTATCGTAATTTTGAATTTTGCATGTTGTAAGATTTTAATTGTTTAAGAAAACTAAAAATATCTAAGATTTCAAAATATTGCACAATTTAAGATTATATTAGTTTTAGAAATACTGATGAAAAATAATTAGCTGTTCTTTGTATTTGATACCATAGAAGTTTTAAAAAATTCTTATTTTTTAAATAGAAAATATTATCATAAAGAAATTAAATTCATTGATACTACCTTAATTTCAATGCAGTAGGATTTCAGATTGTTTGCTTGTAATATATTTCATATAGTGTTTGTGTGGTGTAGTTTTTCTGGAAGATGAAACCAATTCACTTTTAAATTATAACCAAGAAAAACTGCAGCATAGATCTGACTGGAATGAAAATCACAACTGGCTTAATGGTTAAAACATTTTCATTTTGAAGAGGAACAATTATTCAGAAATACATTTTAGCTTAAATTTGTACATCACTATGCATGCTTAACACACTTCACATTTTCTGTGTATGAAGTTAACATTTTAGATGATAGAAGAAGCTTAGTGAAGAGATTGGCAGAGCAAGCAGCAAAAGAGTGATGCATAATAACTGCAGTAGTATTTATAAGATTGGAAAGTCTTTCTTTTAATTCTGAGTAGTGGTTGGGGAAAAGATTTTGCATTGTGGTTACTGCAGGGAAAGCATGCTGTAACATTATGCAATATGGGAGCCTTGAAGATGGCATGTATGCAGTTAAAATTATGAATTTAAAGGGTTATTTCAATTCAGTTTAATTTGGTACTAAATTTTTCTTCATATTTTTATTATTTTTCAGGTATATATATGTAAAATAAAAATATGTAAATCAAAATTATAATTTAAACTAACTGTAAAACGTCAATTCTCTCTCTCTATTCTAAAAATACGTAATAATTGGGAACTGAAACTACCATTGTAAACCAAAACTTTTCTTTTCGCGTGCTTCCATTTTTTATAACTACGCACTTCAGCTTCTGTCTGTGCTCTGCTTGGACGCAATTTCCCTGTGCTACTTCCTATTGCAATAATATCAATAACGACATCTTGAACAGGCACAATTAGGGTGCCAAGTGATCTATCTGTAGCTACATAATGTCAATTGGAAATAAAAATGAAATTAAAATCGCCTCAACTGTCAAGTTTTATTTACGAAGTCAACACGTTAGCTTACGTAATCAGAATACTTCCTCTTCAACATAGGATGAATATGCATCAACAGTGCTCCACCTTTTCCTTTCCTTGTGCTTTTATCATGTCATATATATACATGTATCTGTAAGATAATCAAAATATGTTTTAAATATGATATACCAAAATATAAAATTCTAAAATTTTATTGTATTTTCTTTGTAAAATGATGTGTTGAGAATTATAATTTTATTTCACATTTTTCATTGTTTGTGATTTTGATTTGTATAAAATGCATTATTTTATTTTCTTTGTAAAGACTGAATTAAAACTGTATCGGAATACTCATTTGATTATTTCAAAGTTGTTGGAAATGTAGTTGTGCAGAAAATGTTTTTTTAACTGCTTTCATTCTTTTAACTTCCTTGTACAAAGTATTGTAATCGCAAAAAGTTTCAGCCAGCATATTTCAACAAAAATATCCATTTTCACCGCTATCGAATGCAATTTAACGATGTTTTTGCATAATATCTGTACGTAAGGACAGAATAAAAGACTCGTTTCCTCAAAAAAAATTATAAAACTGCTTTAAAATTAATTCTGAAGAGAATTTTTCATGGTGTCTGTACGAATGTATGTATCTCGCATAACTCAAAAACGAGTAGCCTCAGAACGTTGAAATTTTGTATATAGGACTGCTATAACATGTAGATGTGCACTTCGTGTTTTGGTTGCAATCGGCCTTACCAAACGTATATAAATATATTTACATATATATCAACTCTGTTACCCGACTCAGTGATCTCTTCTTTACTCTTATATGTTTGTAAATTGTACATTTTTTTGCTTTAAAAATGATTGAATTATGTTGTTTTTATCTTCCGGTTAAGTGCCTTTAGTAAATCTGTATGCAATATTTTTAGAATTATCAACAATTTTAAATTTGTTTAATTGGCACAAAGCCTTTTTTTTATGGTGGCCATTGATTGTTTACATTTGAAACAGCAGACTAGTGGATTTGTTGCCAATCTAGAGAAACTTAGCTTCGCAACAACAAAGATAACACCTTCATTTATTATTGCCAATTAAATCATGCTTAATCCTTTCTGGAATTTTTTCGAAGAAATGTGTTTAAGATTTACTTCGTAATTTTTAATATAGATATTTTGAGTTTTTATGTATTTTTGTCTTCTCGCGAAGTGAGAACGGAATTAATTGAATGAGAAATACTCAGTCATCTGTGAAAAACTGTTTCTTTTTTGTTTTGTTTGATTAATTTCTTTTATATATCGTTCTAGCTTTATTATAGTATTTGAATAGAACATGTGGCAACGATTAGATAATTCTATTCTTTAAATGATATAAATTTCGTGCATTATGAGTTATAATATGAACGAAATATAATACTGTTAAGTGAATCTAGCGCCAGAGTGTCGCTATGGTAAACAAATACTTGAGTGAATTTTAAAGAATGCATTTATTCTATTGTGGTTTATGCGCTTTCAGCGAAGTAGATTTAATTCAATTCAATATGTTTAAATGAAATGCAGGAAAAAATGCATATAATTTAATATTCCGTACAAGGAAGTCATGTGGTGTACACATCAGATTTTTTCCTTTTATTTTTATATTAATTTTGCTCAAAGAGTCAGGAGAAATGAAACATGAATTCATTACTCCTAAATACTTCAGGTTTCAGTGTTTTAAATTATTACCCGTTGAAGAGTTGATTTGAAGCATTAAAATATAAAAAATGAATTTGATTATCCACTTAATATTTTTTACAAAAAGGACTTAAAAAAAATATTGCAAATTTTTCTAAAAACGTTTTTGAAAGAACAAAACCTTTCCTTTCAGTTTGCATCTTACTTTGTTATACAATTTAAGTGCTCTTCTCTGTGTTAAATTTAATTTAAAGAATTTTTCCAGTATGGTATAATCTTTTTTCTAATTTATAACTTTTAAGTTTTTGTTATATATATATATATATATATATATATATATATATCAAATGTTGTATGATGTTAAATTCATTTAGTGCGAAAACAAGTTATTCTACTACTTGCACAGTTGCTTCAAAGTAAGTTAATAATAATTTATTTACTAAATAATATTGATTATATTATCTCCTAAGTTTAATTATAGTAGAATTATCATAAAAGAGTGAATCCATACTTAGTAAGTTCTATTTTGAAAGATGTTTTGAAGTAACTTGAATGTAAATTGTTAAAAATGTTTAACAGGGACTGGAATTAAATCATGAATAACAAAATTTCAATTGTAAAAGACAAGAGTTAAATTAAATGCATGTAATCATTGTCATTGATCGGAAATTAGTTGACTTTTCAAGAGGAACAAACCAACTCCCGTTCAATGAACAATAATTAAGAAATAAATACGACGGTGTTTCGTCCTTTACTCGAACAATAAGGCGAAGCCAAACCGGCAAATTCAAGTCAGGACAAATATTTCCGTGAATAGAAGGAATTATGAACCAATGCTGATATTCAAAGAACTTATTCCTATATTGGAAATTGTCATTTTGAAATAGAATTCAAAGTAGTTGGAAAAAACATTAGAAAATTACAAAATATAAGAAAAATAATGCAAACTTTGTAAAAACAAATCAAAAAATAAAAAATGAAAAATATATAATAAGAAAAGTGAATGTACATGAAGATAAGGCCCGAAAAAGTATTAATTAAGTTACATTCTTTCTAGTTGGGAGTGGGAAAAGTGTTCTCTTCGCGTCTGACTCAGAAGGGTAGTGTTTCTGAAAATTCTTGAGCAGCAGTGGGGGCTTTGAATAATATCAGTCGGTAAGACTTGTGTGAAGTAATTTATGGTAGTGGGTGGGACTAGGAATTCTTGAGGGATGTATTCTGTGGAGTTCTTATTTGAGTGAAACCGTCTGTTAAAAAATATTTTTTTGAAAATACTAGTAAATGGAAATTAATTAATTTCTGGCTAATTGTCATGTCGAATTGATTAAGAATTTAAGAAAGGAAAAAAGGAATTTTCACTGTCAAAGAGCTATTAAGTCGAAGAGCTATTTGACAGACTAAAAATTATGAAATAGGCCCTTTTTTTTAGTAACAGCATAAGTCTGAAGACAATTAGCTTTTTACATTATATACAGCTGAGTAATTACACTATATACAAATCCTTCAACTGATAGTCATCCAACTTATACCGCGTTCTCAGGTTTAGGAACAAATTATCATATCCCTTCATTTAACTGATAGGGATATGATCATTTGAAGGATTTGTATATAGTGTAATTACTCAGCTGTATATAATGTAAAAAGCTAATTGTCTTCAGACTTATGCTGTTACTAAAAAATGGGCCTATTTCATAATCTTTAGTCTGTCAAATAGCTCTTTGACAATGAAAATTCCTTTTTTCCTTTCTTAAATTCTTAATCGATTCGACATGACAATTAGCAGCCAGAAATTAATTAATTTCCATTCACTAATATTTTCAAAAAATATTTTTTAACAGACGGTTTCACTCAAATAAGAACTCCACAGAATACATCCCTCAAGAATTCCTAGTCCCACCCACTACCATAAATTACTTCACACAAGTCTTACCAACTGATATTATTCAAAGCCCCCGCTGCAGCTCAAGAACACTTTGCCCATTCGCAACTAGAAAGAACATAAGTTAATTAATACTTTTTCTGGCCTTTATAT